TATTGTGAAATTCATGAGTACATTTATAAACACTTTGCAAGCTATTTTTTTAACATGAATAAACGTGATCATATAAATGTCTTGGATTGAAAACATTTGGAATGTCTCCGCTAACCACTTCCAATTGAATACTGCAATAGTAGGTACATGAGTTCATGGCGGTTCTCGGGTTAAGAATCATATGGTAAGTCATTAGCCTACAGTCTCTAATAAATATGCTGCGTAATTTTTTCACATAATTGAAGACTTTTTGTAGATAAGAAAGAACACAATATCTGAAATGTTCATACTGCAAAGAGTTGAGATCAAGCACTTTGGTCTTATGTGTAAGATTATACTATTCATTCAGTTCATTTGTATTGATACGATAAGAACTAAAGTATACAGACATGTTAGATTTCATTTCTCATATTCTAAATATATATCAAATAATTTATTATCTAGTATCTATGATAACATAAAGGTCACATTTAATGAAGAAATGTTTTAAAATACTTTAATCGAACCAAATAATAGAAAGAAGAAGATAATAAAACATTATTATATCACATCTCTCTGGTTTTGGATAGGCCCTCCCATTCCGCCTACATTTTCTCTCTCCTAGCATAGTGACCGTATGCCGAAGATTCTATTTTACCCTTCTCAACCCCTCTCTTTCTCTAACAATGCTGACCATCTCGTAATACTTGGATAACACGGATATAAGGGGCTCCGCCTCAACAAGAAGGTTATGAATTAGTTATATTACTACTTATAATATAATGTGTCATAATATAAATGTCTATTTTCATGTTATGGATACAGTTTTCATAAATTATGTATTAGATATTTATACACATAAATATACATTTATTCCGAAAATATTTTAGAAATGATATTTTCTGCATGTGTTACCTTACTTTACTTCAGGATATAATTAAAATTTGATTGCTACTTTCAAATTAGATGAAACAGTTTACATCAAAATTTTAAACATGTGAATTTCAAGAGGTGATAAACCTCTTGAAAAATTAAATAATATACTGATGTATTCAAATCAAAAGAAAATATTTCTATACACAAATTTCTTGATATAGATAGTCATTATTCAATGCATATCAAATGATCAAAAGAACTACTTTTAAATTTTGAATTTATAAATTATTCATATTTAATGTTATAAAAATTTACGATTATATCAAATGTCTTCTAAGTTTTCATTTTATGTCTTTTAGATTCGTAAATCATACATTTAGTGAATTTTTCCATTTATAATTTAAGAAAATTTCACATATGTCAAGATGTTTCATACGTAATGCTGGATATCAAATACAAAATATATATTTATGTATATATATATATGTTTAAATTATTCTTATGCACATAAAGGAATTCATTCTTCATCAAATACATGATTTTGATAATTAAAAAAACTCGATATTTTTGCTTTACGTTTATAAATATCTATAATATCAAATCTGAGAATATAAAGATATGAAAAAATTGTTTACCAAATTTTAATCATATTTTGATAAATATAAAATTGCGTTCAAATTAGATTCTATACTATCATGATTTTATAATCTGACTGAAAAGTTTACGGCAAATTTTTAGAATAGAATTTGGGCACAAGTTAAATTATGGATTTTGGAAAATTGAAATCTCTTTCCAATATATATAAGAACAAATATTTGGAGGTGGATCTTGCAGAATCAACGTATTGGTGGTGTAATTGCATTTAATGACATCATATTTTTGAGTAACATTTTTAATTTGATAATATTATAAAAAGTCAAAATCTATTAAAGAAAACCGTATATATTGCCTAATTATATATATAAACCATATAATATGCCTGATTTCACATATATATTGGGCTATTTAAATTGGATCTTAACCTAATCAATATTGAAAATGGAAATCTTTATCTATTTACTAGTCATCTAATATGACATTTCATGGAGTACATTACGTTGAGACGAGTGGAAATTGGTGAAACATGCATCTTTTAAGAAAAGGATGTTGAGATCTTTTCGCAACATCGTTGAGAAGATTTGAGGCTTACCACTCTAAGTTAACATGCATACCTAATCTCTGTACCTTAGCTTTTTTATATAATTTATCCGTCCCCTTTTGAAATGTGATCTCTATTCTAAGAGTGACGATTAGGCCGCGTCAAGTTGCTATAGTTTCCAAAAAATCGCTTATACATCCATGCCAGAAGTCTCAGCAAAGGTATAAGACGAAGCTCAGGATACATAGTGTTGATACAAGCGGTAGACTAAGCCCATTGTAGTATATATTAACTCCCAAGAAGTATAAAAGTGAATGGTTAGTTATCCTTCACTAATTAGCTCTCACCGTACTATATGTTCTTATTTGATTGGTCACACACACATCCCTACTACCTTGCATCGACCAATAAGAGATCTCCGTGTAGCAAAATGAGGGCTAATTAACCCTAAGTGAGACATAACTAGCCGTTCACTTAAAAATACTTTTGATACATAGTGTTAATACAAGCCGTCGCATAAGCCCATCGTAATAAACATTAATCCCCAGAAAAGTTCTCCCTGAGTAACCCTTACATCCTCAGGGAAACATTATATCGCCATCGTGACCAATATGTTAAAAAATCTATTGAAGCTATCATTCTTTGGTAGCTCAAAGAATATGTAGTCCCTATTCTATATAGTTTTTCTGCGCAATTATATACAAGCTCAAATTAAAAGGGTTTCAGTAGATACAACGCGGAAACATGCAATGCATACTCCTGGAGAAGTGCAATCTGTGGTCAGCCACTCGAACGTAGAGTGGAGTGATTACAGTCTGAAGATGTAGGCACTCCACGTCGTAAGTTTCAAACCTAAAGACCGTTCCAGTTTCTTCCTTTGAATATTCATTACTGGAAAACAACTCTTGGCTTTCCACTGGAAGGGCTATTGGCCATGGAGCCCTGCTTTGCGTTCAAAGAAGTTGGACACATCGATCTCCCAGCCAATGCGACGAACCAATGGACAAAATCTCATATGTACAGTTTATTCTTCTCATCCTTTTTGTTCTTCGCTTGTCCTCCGATGACGTTTATTTGTCTTTCGAGGAACTACGCGGTACCTTCCACGCTAATCTCTTTGAATCGAAATGTATCATCTCCAGGTCATCTGCGGATCTAAGATCGAACGCTCTCCTTCGCAAGTCTTCATCGTGAAGGAAATCATTTCGTATTTCTCAAGCAGCGCTGTTTGGTCGTTCACACGTGCACGTTTCAAGTAGCACTCGGACCATCCCAAATTTGGAATGTACTGTAAATTTGAACAGATCCGCGGGCAGTGAGTGGACTCAATCAACGCTCTATACATGAACAATCCGCTTATAATAAATTTTTTGATAGATGAATTCTATATATATAATGCTTTAGTTCTAGATAATATAAACTGCAAATGATTGATTGCTTAGTTGTAAGCGGAGGCGAACATATGTGAACAAATTTCTTAATTGTATAATAGATTCACAGATTTGATGTTTTTTCTTGATCATATATCCTACATTCAAAAGAAATTGGAAAGTTTAAATCTGAACATATTTTCTCTAAACTCACTTTGGTAGTTTTCTTCATATGTTATCCGTGTGAGATAAGATGAATGTTTGACGTCCAATTTGTATATCTTCTGAGTATTGGTTAAAAACAGAGTGGAACATAAGTGTACGAATGATTTGAGATCACATATAAATCTTCTGGTATTAGTTTTAGCAAGGAATTTCTGGGCTGGATTATGCTGGCCCAACCACATGGATTTGGCTGAAGTTTACTCGTTACACATCTTGCCTCCTAACGGATAGTGGACTTCATCAAGATGTTATATTAAAGAACCGTATGCTCCTTCAATAGTTACTTACATGCATGCCGATTATTTGCAGTTCTATTTAGTTTGCGCTGAACGTCTATGTAATGATATATCTATCATTGACCATTCCTGTCCGGGATAGATACGGTGCCCTCTCGCCGCATATTCACGGCGAGGCAAGTCGAGTAAGGGCCTGCAAGTGTGACCTTCACCGGCAACTGTGAGGATGCGCTAGAATGCGGGAACCTTACCGGGGGGGGGAAAGTTGTAGCTAACAACCCAAAAACTGATGTCTCTTTCACAGAGAAAAGTGAAGTCATATTGCGTCTTTACGTCAACAAGAATTTTACCGCATGGAAACTTTGCGTTACTTGCAGAATGGAAGAGCGACGTGTAGTTCTTCGCCACAAGTGCCACTTGGATCTTGAGCTTTGCGTCAGTTCGACACCAAGCAAAACAAGATACTGCGCAAGCAATGGCGGAGCTACGCATTTGACATTCTTTTATTATGGAATTTATGGCCGAGAAAAGCTAACATGAGTTGACTTAGAATCAGAAAAGATGAATGCGAGAGCCATAAAAAACTTACGCTGGAATGAAGACAATGCTTCAGTAAGTTGTCTCTTGCCGAACTCTCAAACCTACGGTTGCCTAGAAGATGAGGAAAATGTGCAGTTTCCAGCTTCCGCAAGTTTCAGCTTTCTGTTGCCAGCACGAGATCTGGAGGATTCACATCACACGGTCGGTGTTCGGACTGTCAGATGCGGTTGTGCTCGAGATGTGCTCGGGCCTTGAAGGGCTTGAGATAAGGGTGGGTAAATTAGCCAGGAAGAAGTAACAACTCGGATCGCAGGTCGTGACGCATTGCTGGTGGACCGAGGTCATGGAATGTACATGCTCGGGGAGAGATGGAGAGGGGAGCCATCGATGTCGATGGGAGAGAAGAATCCTGGCCGGGTCTGGAAAGCTTCAGAGGGCGACACGTGCCTCCGGTCTAAACAGGTGTTCATTTAGTTAGTGGGCACATCAAGGATCGTTCACTGTATTTGATATGGCACGCGTTCCACCGTGGCAGCAGACTCACCTACACGTGGCGAGAGGGTATACCGGGATTGTCCGAGAGCGATCTTTGTTAGGACAGTTAGCAGCGGTGGGAAAGGAGGCCTGAGTAATGCGCAAAACTCCGCAGTGAGGTAGCGAGAGATTTTCTCGAGGGTGTCGAATTGCGCCTGTGTGGTGTCACGGGGTATAGAAGGTGTCGAAGGCGCGCATAGACAGCTGCATGGACCAGATCCAGTTCCACTTGCGACTTCACTAAGTCTTCGCCGCACCGATACTGCTGTGCGAAGGCGTGTCGAACGATAGACAATTTTGGGAGTGCAGTCGATTATATATTAAGGCGGTGCTGAATAAATTGGCTGGACACACAGATGACCAGTTAAGAACCCCGATCCTCCTAGGCTAAAATCCGCGTCAGCTCCATGACCGATCGTTCTTTGCTTCGCCTTCGAGAGCTAGATCATCAGTTTCGAATCCCGATCCTCGCAGACCCGAATTCCGAGACCTCTATGGTCGTTCTTGTTTGAGCTGCGATCCGTAGCGAGCAAACGATCTAGCATATTTGTGGATATTTGAACAGCGTGGAACGCTGGGGAGAATGGGTGGTGAATCAAGTAATTCCAGCATCGAAAGTGTGGTGGATATGCCGACGGGAACCGAGACAGAGTTGCTTAGGATTAGCGGAGCACAGCTATTTCTCCTGGATGGCGAGGAGAGTGTTCGCATGGGAGTGGGGAACTTTGCTCTCATGATGACGGTGCAGGCTCAGACTCCTCTGGCAGCAATGGTAGCTCAGGTTGCAGATGTTCAGTGGCCCGTGGGCAAGGATGGACCGGTTCTCAAACTTGCTAATTACCGATACACATTTTCGATCCCAGGCCTTCTCTACGGTGTCATCTTGCCGAAGGACGTATCCAAGGAGCTGATACAGAAGTTTGAATCTCTTATGCAGCAGTATTGCACCTTCGAAGTGCGCCCCGATATTCTTAAAGCGGCAGGTAAAATACGTGACATACGCTAAGCCTTCCAGTTTGAAGGAACCAAGTCTTGTGCCTACGGATGCCTGTTTATGATGCCAACATGTTGATCGCTCCACTGCTTGTACTCCTCCGAATCCAAGGATTATCTTCTATGGCTTGGACTCGTCAAAACTTTAATGTGACGCCACTCTCTTCTTCTTCTTCCTCGTTCGCACGAATTCCTGTAAACGTGCGTTGTTCATGGTCACAAACAACCATCTGCCACATTGGCGGAGACGAGCCAAACCCTCGCAAGTTGGCGTGTCCGACGTGAGCAGTCCCCGTCTCGGTTCTTGGTTTGAAGGCTTGTTGCATTCTTGTACTGGTTTGCGAACGTTCTCGTCTTGACAAACAATGCATCACGAATTCTTTGCCATGCAGACGTAGATGGGCTGAGATTCTTGCACTGAATCCTGTCGAACTCGAATGTGTTAATTTCGTGGCGCAGAAACCAAGGCGTTTGGTGTTTAATCTGGGGGCTTTTGCATTTGCGCCAAAGTCTTGCCGGTAGTCCAATTTGTGCCGTCTTGCAAACAATGAGTTTGTTTACGTGCTGATTCTCAGAGCAGCGAGTGGATCTAGAACTAGAACCTGCTGCTAAAAGTTACCTTGTTTGGATCCGTGTGTTGATGAGCACTGGAACCATTCGGTCGTCGTTGCTGCAGTGAGTTGTATCGATGGTCACTTACAGTTGGACCCGGACTTGTTGAAATCATTGCTTCAGAAATACGCAATTTGCGGCTCCGTCATCCTCCCGCACCGAACGATGTCGCAGCGATCGATGGAGAGCAATTCTGGAGCAACATCGCCGAGGACGTGGAACAGTACAGTAAAAGGTTAGCGCAGCATATCAAGAATGGGTCCACCATCGCCGTGAGCGGGATAGCTTTAGGCGGGGAGTGGGCAACGTGGGGAATTGAGCAAGGCGGGCTGCGAGCCAAGAGCAAGTTCACGAAAACTAGTGCAGCAGGAGCGAAAGGCGACGGAGGAGATATGAGTCCGCGGATGCGCAGCCGCGTCGCGCAGGCGCGACGCATGTCCGCCGTGGCCAAGTTGTTGTCGCGGACGGTGCTCAAGGGAGCCATCAGCGCCACGGGTCACGTGGCCAACACGCTGGGAACCGCGATCGGCAGCTCGGCGCCGTTCCGAGCAGTGCTGAACTCCGATGGCGGCCGGGAGGTGGCCGTGGCCAGCGTGGATGCGTTCGCCAAAGTGGCCGAGGCCGTCGAGACTGCGGGCAAGTCGCTGGCCTCGGCCACGCTCTCGGTGGGCACGGATCTGGTGCACCATAGATACGGAGAGCAAGCGGGGCAAGTCGTGCAGGAAGGAATGGTGGTCGTCGGCGACATGATAAATTCCATGTGGACTCTCAATAAAATCGGCCTGCGGATGTTGTGGGGCGCCACGGCGTCGTCGCTGGTTCTCAATGCCTCTCGCTCTCGGGGCCCCCTGTCGCCCTCGATTTCGTCCGAAACGAGCACTCCGGGCCTGAGCTCCCCGTCCCTCTCCGGAGGCTCCTCGTTGTCTCGACAATGTTCCGTGTCCCCCTCCCGACTGCACCCCCGGGACGACGTCGAGCCTTCGTCTGCGGCCGCGGCTCGAAACGAGCCCGTGCTCGAGACTGCGCAGCTCTTCCCCAGCACTTCGGCCCCGGACCTGGCGCGCTCCCACGCCTACCCCTCGTCGACGTCGCCAAATCACTACATGTACATGCCACACCAACAATCCGTCTCCATGGCTCCGGCCTACGCCGCGTACTACCATCCGACGCCCGTCAATCCCACCAGCCACTTCCAACACTACTCGAGGCCTTCTGGGCCTCCGAAAACTCAACCTTTTTTCCCCTACTCGGGAGTGGACCCGTCCGTCGGCCGATGAGCGCCTTGAAATCTGTTTCCCGCAATAAGCATCCGCTCGCCCCCCACATTTCACTTAGATAGATTACAGGAGTGTCGCATCCACAAGCCGCAGTGATCAGTCACAACTAGGAGGAACTCGATTCACAGGTATTTTCAATTGATGATATTCGGAGAGTTTTGTGTACACGCGGAGGGAGGGATACCATGTGCACAGGAATTAGTGCTGCGAGAACTCTACGGGAGCAATCCATTGTTCCACTGTCTCCTCGACCTGATCTGATAGCCCTAGTGTGTATAGTAGGCCTAGCAAGCAAACTTTGTAAACAGAAGCATCCAGATTTGAGTTTCATACAATTCAGACTGGCATTTAGTGTATCATGATTTACCCATTTCAGTCGTTCCCAGGGCTTGCAAATAGTTTGGAATTGTTGTTACTTCAGTGTAACTCATCCCATCAATTGACTTTTCGATCACTTTGGAAAGATTCTGCTGGCGATCTATGTAGTTGATTGTTATCGAAGGATGCTGGCTTGAGGTGTAGTATTTATTGCTACTTGGATTTATCATGATAGCGTTCTGAATGTGCACTGGAGTGGTGATGATCTAGGCGTACATCTGAATATCTCGTGTTGAAGCAGGCATTTGAGCCAGTTTGCGCTCGCAATTCAAATGGTTGCAATTTAGCAAACGTACTGTTGTTCTCGACTGCTGGACTGGATTATTTAGAATCGTGGTTGATTTCACGTACAGTTCTTTTCTGTCCTCGAGATATTAAACTACGCATGGATAATTTTGTTAAATGTGCAGTCCATATTTCAAATTCATCTAAATTTACTTTTTTTGAATATCTTGTAGAACATTCTTCTACATTCTCTTCTCTCAACTGGTCGAAGATACTACGATATTCAGTTCTAGAATAGTTAGTTTGACAGATAAAAGTAGAGTGTAACCTCTTCGAGATTGTTTGTTGTACGAGAGAAATATGATTTGGAAGAATATTGCTTCCAACATTGTTCACCTTAACTCTTCCTAACGCATGAGCTAAGTGCCCTTGCATTTCACAAAGTGCAGTAAATCAAATGACAACAGTATGGATCATGGAAGTAATCAGAAAGTACTTAATCAAATTGTATAATTTTATTTATTTTAAACGTATTTGAAAGTGAAATTTCATGCAAAGCAAGTTAGTAAACTTAAATATTGAGCATATTAACATTCATGATTGATTTTATACTGTTTCAAATGTTATTACAAGAAAAACATCAATTTTTTGTATATTAAAAAAATAGATTTTAGAGCTATTATTTGAGAAACTATTTAACGCTTACAAAACGCCTTCTGGAGGAAAAACTTATGAATACCAAGCTGTATTCGTTACATTTCTTTTCAGATATATAAATGATATTACCAACAGTTTCGCATGTTGAATAAAAATTTTAATCTAATTTATCTGAATGAAAACGTTATTTTAGTTTTAAATTCAGGAAGGATATTTACTTTTTGGGGAATATTTCTAAAGTGTACTGTTCGATCAGATTAGTATTATATATTTTTTATATGTATATGTTTAATTTGAATTATTCTATTCGAAGTAATATATTCAACCACATCACCCTCACGAGTTATCTATCTCGATATTTCTAAATATCTATTTCGAAGCATTACCGATTTTTGTAAAAACTTTGATTTGCTATGGAAGTCCTGATCATTTTTCATAACGTTTTTCACATTTTATATTTTTCATTTATTTTAAAATATACAATTTCACATGTAAAATGAATTTGCATATATTGAAATAACTATAAAATTTTGCTCGAAATATATAAAGCATATATTCCATATTGAATAAAATAAAGATTGAAAGTTAAAAAGAATTTTTATCATTTGCTCTTTGATACATCTTTATTTCTAAATAGATATGAATTTAACTTGCATTGGTTTTTGACATGAATTAAAATTATTATCGAATGATGTGCAAGTTAGATAACTTTGAACGGAGACAAACAACATGAAGACATGCTTTGTGTATTGACCTTACTCGTCTATTTAATCCATTTGTCTCTATTGAATATTTATCTTTCAAAGAATTGACAAATGTACAAACATAATCTATGCAAGCTATATTAAATTTTTTTTTCATTTTTTTTTTCAGATATTTTATTTTAACATCTGTTAAGTCAGTATAATACAATAAAATTAGCCCGTTTAACATGACTTTAAATAAATTAATATGACTAGGTGAATTTGGATGTAATTTACATGAAATTGGGAACACCATGTAATGGTGTTCAAAATTACATGCAATCCTCTCTATATTTAGATTCATCGCGCGACGAATCAAATTCACTGTACGGAACATTCAAATTTCTCAAAGATGCGTAACAATCATGACTAGTTAACTACTCAATATGTCATTTGATTCGTATCTCATCACTGATGAGATACGAATGAGATAAATACCAATTATTTTGACCGATCACCACTCACCAGATTTTATCAGCTCATATTAATAATTCAGTTTCGAAAAACGGTTAGAATATAACAGATCAACGGCCCATGATTACATACCATGCTTTCGGCACCATCCGACTCGTTGAGCTAAGCTATATACTTATATGAGTCAGATCTACAGCAATCGTTCATTGGGGACAACATAGAAGGCACATTCGTATTTTCCAAATAATCGGCGATGTGAATTTCCATACGCTGTAATCTCTTTAGCAGTATCAATTGTATGATTGTATTTAGTTCTCAGTTTAGAGAACTAGCCATTATTGCGCCTCTCACTAAATATTCCGACGAAATGAAGATATACGGCTCCCGTCGCTTTTGGTGCAAAGGACAGTTCGTCATGAACGTCCATGGTTGGCGTTGGTTTCGATGCCCCGGTGTGGTCGGGGTGGGTACAATGTCGGGCGTGTCCGGGTAGGTGTGTTCATCACACGAGCCGCCACCTGCCGAGTGCTACCGAGTTGGTGTATAAGCCTCAATACAGTACAGGATAAAGCGCGGTACCAAATTCTCTGTGTCGTCGATCGAGGAACTTCTGCCGTCCGACTTTTATGTGCCGACGTCACGTTACCGTGTTCCGAACTCGAGCGAAGGACCCTTCCTAATCTCCGTCAGCAGAGGACATCTCTGTGCTCACGGCCTCCCCTGCTCCGTTTGCACGCGCGCGCGGCAGCCGCTCGGAATGGTGGATACCCGTTCGATAGGCGCTCCTCCAAACTGGCGAGAATGTCGAATTTGAGTTTACGTACGTGGAGGAGGAGGAGGAGGAGGGTGGTTCAGTACAGTACATGTAGACGGCGCAGGGACGAGAGAGGATCTGTGTCCGGGATGCGATAATCTGCTCTCTTTATGACAAGAGAGATCGTCTTCGCCCTCTTGGCTTCGCCGTCACGCTGTGATTGTTTGTGCGTAGGTCCCACCATAGTTCACTCTTGTCGCCATATCTGTTTGGCGCGAACGGCAGTGCAAACAGAGACCGGGGTGTGGATTTGTGCTTGGCTAGCTAGCTGGAAGAAATTCGAAGACGAGTGGAACCGAACTCGATGGCATGAAGTGCTTGCTGGCTGAAGGAAATGTATGTGCGCCTTGTAGTCCATGAGTACACGGTCCCTCCGTCATCACTTCGCTCGACCGAAGTACGATTGCCTTGTCAGCTTTGACAGTTCATCGAAAGAGGAGACGGTAAGTGTTGCAATGCCTTCTACTGAATTCATTGCTTCGGCTGATCTAGAATTACGGAGAAAAGGGTCACATGCTCCCCCCAACTATCCAAGGGTGTGAATTCTTGAACGGTTGTTTCTGGTCGTCTCTTTGTTGTTGCTTTCATTTGTGACGCGTAAAAACCCCGTGCATGTGTGCTTTCTTTGATAGATGGCCGAATCAGCTGAAATTGAAACGCGGCTTTCGGGCGTTCGGCCTATCTAGCTGCAGTCCTCTACCGCGAACGAGCGGAGAGTGCGACCGACAGTTTCGATCCAGGGACGATGAGCTAATTGAAAGAAAGGTAAATTATGCCATGCATGAGGTTTATCTTACTCAGCGCAGTCGTTCTAGTTCTAGTTCGCTGCGGAATTGCTAGTTCGTCTTAAGATAGTAGGGTTGTGCCATATGTAGCCACTGAATTTGTCGCCGAACTTTCGTTAGGACGGAGTGAAGGACCTTCGGGAGCTGAATTGTGCAAGCGTCACCTCAAGTAAGGTTTGCAGCTGATGTAATGAATTTGTCGGAAATATTGTTGCTTTATAGTTTCAGGTCTTTTTATCGCACTTTCACTGATCATAGCATCCTGAAGCTGGGGTGCAGAGAAAGTTTGGTTTTCGACGCTCTCCGTGGATTTTTTTTATCGCTGGAGTTGATGGTTTATGTGAGGCATCATGTTGTTACTTCGATTTGATTACATTCAGAAATATATTGGAGGCATTTTCCATTGGGTTGAAAAATGATTGTTGACCTCAGAGCTGCAATTCTTCTGCTCGTGTCTTGCATGTCTGAAGCTGAAGCGTGTTCGTTCAACCGAGTAAGTTATGGAGGACGAGGATGACGTGCACAACGAATATTCGGATGATGACATTGAAACTATTGAAGAAGAGTCTTTCAAACTTCTGGAGAGTAAAAAAGTTGTTGTTGAAAATGAAGATGGCACATTCCGTTGTCCATATAGCCCCAGCAGGAAGAAGCAGTCCTACCCTTTCAAAGACCTACTTCAACATGCCGAAGGTGTAGCGAAAGGGAAAAGGGGAGCTGAAGCTGTGGGTCAGCACAGAGCCCTTGTGAATTATATGAAGAAAAACCTATCTGCCAAGGCTAGCGTACCTGTGGAACGTGTCCACAAATTGGAATTGGCTGCACCTCAAAGGGAGGGTGATAAGGATTTGCTAGTCTGTCCCTGGTCTGGAGTAGTTTACAACATGGACAACTCCCAGCTCAGTGAATCTGGGCAAAGAGTTGGTCCAGGCGTTTCGGAGATTAAAAAGCACTTCGAAGTGTTTAGCCCTGAGAAAGCCATTGTGTGTTGGGGCCCCAAGGGACACATGGGTCTTGGAGTCTTGATTTTCCGCAGAGATCTGGAAGGTCTCAAAGATGCGCAAGCTTTTGAAAAATGGTTCATCGAGAATGGACAGGGTCGAAGGGACTGGGAGCAACGCAATCGAACTGGTAGTCTGGGGAATCAGCTCTATGGATGGCTTGCGCGCAAGCAGGATTACGAAGGGAGGCATGAGATTAAAGGCGACTGGTCAGTTAGTAAAATACTCAAAGAGTCGGGGGATTTGACCGATATTGCTATGATAGGGCAAGAGATGAACAGAATGCATGAGCAGAGATTTCAAAACCTCAAAGAAACTGTATATGCCAAAAACGAGGAGTTTGAAGTACTGTTGCATGAAGTGGAAGTTGCTCGGCGGAGGGCCGAGGATATCAAGCTACAACTCGAAGAAAAGCACAAGAAAGGTAGATCCCGGACGCAACTCAAGAGAGCTGATTTGCACAAGATTGAGGTCTTTGTGCTTTCTTACGCGACATAATTTTTGCCTTGTATTACATTTGTCACCTAACTTCAAAGAACAAGTTTTTCTTCTCATTTTCATCTTCCATTGACGATATTTTACAAGTTGGGTGGTTTGTGTGATTTGACGCAGAACTGGAAAGAGTTAAAAAGCTTGCTCAAGAATCTGCTTTGGATCATGCCAGAGTAATGCAGGAAAATAGTAACAAACTGCAGAAAAGTATGAATATCTTAAAGAGGAAATGCCAAGAATTGGAGGAGAAGGAACAAAGGAACCAGGTTGACAAGAGTCGTCTGGAGCAAGAGAAAAAAGAGGTCAGTAATGTGTGACATTCTGGCAGGATAGGGTAAGATTGGCGTGTTAGATGACGTAGGTGTTCATATATTATTTTTCTGTTCGTTTTCGTAGGAAGCTTTTTTCTAAGTTTGCATCTTTTCATTCACTTCTTGTAGCAGTTGGTATAATCTCAAGTAAACACGCTTCTTACTATGCATGCACTTAAATTATAATCTAAGTCAAGCAGCCATCTCACGACATATTCATAAACTTACGAAAATAAATGATTCTATCTAATCACCAATACGAGTCACGAAGTCACATCTTTCTTTTCAAGTCTCTCTGTTTACGCTGGACTTAAACATTGTAGACATTGAAGATAGCGCACCACTTCAGCATTTGCTGTCTTTCTTTATGCGAAGTTTTACTCACATCTGTCTGTACTTTTTGATTTGCAGAACCAACAGCATCTTGACATAATCAATCACCAGTCGGAACTGCAAAAGAAACATCACGCTGATCAAGTGAAGCTTATCAAGAAACACGAGGTGGAAAGATCTCTCTATCATAGTCTTCCAGGTTATTTTCAAGTAGATCTGTATGTATTGAGAAGACATCCCACAAATGAGCTCAAGTTCAGTGCGAGATCATATGTATTTCTACAATTCTCTCGTATCCATATGTATTTCTACAATTCTCTCGCATCCATATGTATATAGGTGCATTATGTTTGCCCAAGTAAATTGGAGTGATCACGGTCCTCTCTCGGTGGTTCTTCCCTTATGCGTGCCTGGCTTTGTAGCCAGACTCTAACTGTAAGAACTTTGGTTCCACTTATTATATGTATTTGAGCTTATGTTGCCACAAGAGGAGTGCAACAAGCTTGCGCAGTTTATACAACCTGCTAGGTTTCATCCCTTATATGTGCCTGGCTTAGTGGCGAGACTCTGACTGTAAGAACTTTGGTTCAACTTAATACATATATTTGAACTTATTTTGCTACAGGAGGAGAGCAACAAACTTGCACAGCTTATACAAACTATGAAGCTGCGACTTGCTACAAAACAACAGAGAGAAATTGAAACTCAGAGGCTTGGAGAGATGAAAGATTCTAAGAAATTCGCTGAGCTTGTAGAAAATTTTGATTTTGAGTTTGTTGGTAAGAATGTTAAAGAGTTGGAGGACAAGATAAAGGAAGTGGAGAAGAAAAATGCTGATTTGGAAGAGCATCAACGATCTCTCAACGAAGATTTGGAGGCACAAGATTCGACTCTTCAAACCTTGACTGTTAAGGAGAGGATCGCGAATTCTGAGCTTGAGGAGGCACGTAATCTTGGAATCCAGGTTGGGAAAAAATTACCACAAGCTAGCTGCTATTGAAACTTCCTCTAGCTTGAAGCTGTAAGATGTTGAGTTTTTACCGTTAGCATGCCGACTTTGATTAATCCATCATCTTTCCAAGCAGGCAATGCAGAAATTTGGAAGCCAGCAAGGAATATTTGTGAAGAGAATGGGTGAAATTAACAGTGAGCCTTGGAGGCGAGAATGTAAAGTACGTTACAAGAAAGAGAAGGATGGATGGGAAACGATTTTCGGAACCAAATTTTCTGAATGGGAAGAAAAAGTCAAGAATCCTGATTTCCACGCCTTTAAGATCGTGAAAGATGGAAATGAAGATGACGACAAATGGAAGGTACGAGATTTGTTCACCTTCATCCACCATCTCCTGCATTCCAGTAAAATTTTCCAAATGTGCCGTTATTTCCCATGTCGAAAATGACGGTACAGCACGTTTTGCAGTACCGTCATTTTCGACATGGGAAATAACGGCACATTTGGAGGTACGTCTTTGATATCACCTCCCTTCTCTGTGTGGAGATGGGTGTGGAAGTTTGTTTTTGTCTGCCCAGTCAGAAGTGCTTCTGCAACTTGGTTGTTGAATTATAATTTTCATTAGTCACGTAATATGATGAGATGCAAATTAAACTTTGTGAACCCCACATGCTTCTCATCTATAATCCAAGCAGTGAAATGGCTTCTGGGCCGACTCTTGGGCTGCTGGAATGGCCTGGAGTCTTTTCTCATCAACCCTTCTTCCCTTTATGGATAGGGTTGGTTTAGTGGAGAACTAATAGGCATTTCTCTGAGAATTTTACCTTGCTACTAGAAGCCACCTTGCAGGAGACCAAAAGGTATAGATTAGTTTGTATTCGGATTACTTGGAGGCTTATGATTTGTTTTCGCTTTTGCAATTTAGGTGCCTGGGCTTTTCTCTTCTTTGTTTCAATTTATCCGGGTCACATTAAAAACGCCTATAGAGCACGTTGGTCTACTTCTTGTATTCTGTAAATCCAGATATAGATGATTCTGAGAACAGTTGTCAACCAATACGCAACGTGTTTACTTGTGGAGACTTTATTATGTAGACGTGATCTACGACCTTCACGCCGGTGACGTCAAACTCGGCATGTGGATCTATGATTGTGCTTTAGTGTTCCTGGATCTTTCACTTCTAAAGCGTTTATGCTAGCCTAGGGGAAGACGAGCTAGCTACCTCTTGTTGGAAGCAGTATGGATTGAGTTATGACTAACATATAGAGTTGAGTTGGTGGAAGTTTGATATACTTGTCGGAGCTAACTCGAGAGTTTTCACGCTTGCAGTTCATTCTGCATCTTTTCACTGGACTCACGGCTCGTGTCTCTCTACACGTTGACTTTCCTTCTTAATTGTTCTCCTTCAATGTCCTGTTTGTCTTGCATAATGCCTCATTCGTCAGTTCGTGAGTCCTTTGCACCTAGAATAGAGGTTGGGTTTGGGTGGCTGCTCAAGATTTGACAAGCTCTTTGGATGATTTGACAGCGTGTATTAGATGAGACCAACCCGGATCTGCTTGCACTGAAGGAGGAGCTTGGGGAAGAGGTTAAGCAGACTGTTGTGACCGCGCTTGAGGAGATTGAAGAATGGAATCCGAGTGGTCGGTATCCCAAGGCCGTAGTCTGGAACTATGAGGAAAATAGAAGAGCTACTGTGTCTGAGATTTTCAAGGTCCTCTTAGCGGCAGCAGAGAGCAGCAAGAAGAAAACTGTGGCCAAAAGGAGACGGTTAGTAGAAGGTTGATGTTGATTAGCGTCCATGCAATGGCAGCAACATTTTTTACTTCCAGTCTCTATTCACTGTGTTCAACGAGCTTCGCAATACCCTTATTTTGCGAATCAAGCAGGTGTTGTTCATGAATCATCGGCGTTAGATTGCTAGATGGAATGCAGGTACACCTGGTAAGGTGTCTAGTGGCCGCCGAATTGGGTGGATACTGTTCTTGTACAGTCGTGGCTATCAGTGAGGAAACTATTTTCAGACAAAGAAGACATGTCCATCTCTGTAATCTCTTCCGCTTATAACAACCCGGTTTCACGCTTTCGGTGCCCACATCTTCAACATTTCTATCAGCCTCCAACTCTGGTCCCAAGCTCAATAGTTCCGCCTTGATGAAAGCATTTTCGATCGGGCTTGGTAATACTGAATCCGGCGCTTCTTTCACATATCTTTCAGCATCTAGCACGTGCGTTGGGTGTCTGTATAAGGCCCCTTCAGCATCTCGTCACAATCTTCGCCCTTGATTTTTGTTTGGAGTTTTTGGCTATCAAAGAGGTAGAGGTATTTGTATCACTTTTTTCAGGACTGCGATTATTTCCATATCACAAGGCTATTTCTAGCTTGTACAATTTGGGGAAAAGAAAACTATCAGAATATTGTCCCGTTCGAAGGCTTCAAAATGTCCCAGAGCTTTATCCATCATCAATACAACGCCATGTCTTGGTAGCCTTTTCAATTCTGGAAAAGATACCTCGAGGTGCCACTTCCAACATGTTTCTACATCCATCCAGGCTTTCGCCTGATTGAAGTAAGCAACTGGTCAATGTCCGTACTTAATACGAGCTGGTTCTTTCGTCTTTCCGATCAATGCGCAAGAAATTTGGTGTGTTCCATACGCGTTCACGCAAAGGATCAAAGATACGTCATCTTTGGCTTTCGTTTTATCTCAGGTGGTTGAGATGTCCTCGTTGTGTAGAAAAGATTATATGACGGAAGAAAGAAAACAAGTCTCTCTTGTCCATATTGAGTACATTTTCAGGGTCATAATGCGCGATAATCGCGTAAATGCGTCCTAAAGCATTTAACACCTCCGTATAGTTCTTGTTGACTTCTGCTACCTCTCCGTGAAGGGGCATCTTATGCAATCTATCTAGCCATCCCCAAGATGCATTAAAATCTGATGTCGGGATTGAAAGGCTGAAAGCTAAGCTTTTTGCTTTTCATAAATTTTCAAGCTGAAACTCGATTTATCTTCTCCTCAGCTTCTAGCCATCCCCAAGATGCATTAAAATCTGATGTCGGGATTGAAAGGCTGAAAGCTAAGCTTTTTGCTTTTCATAAATTTTCAAGCTGAAACTCGATTTATCTTCTCCTCAGCTTCTTGAGGGCAGATTAACATATGTTTTGTTAAAATATGTTAATAGGGTTATTTTAAATTACAACATTTACGTTTTAGATAAAAAGTTAGTTCTTCGACATCACATAAGGTAAGTAGTATGTTTAGAGTGCATAGAGTGAAGTTATCGATTAATCTATTCAGTATCACTTCTACCTCCCTTAGGTTTTTTTTTAATATATAAATTATATAATTTATTCCATTATATAAAATCATTTGAATAAAAAAAATGTTGGTAAAAGAAAAAGGTGAATTGCTTAAATAACCGAATAAAATTATCTTTATTTATCATAGATACATATCTATATATGTAATTCAAGTATGAGATCAATACTCATAGTGTTATGTTTTTCAGTCCAATGAGTATTGTGCCGGACAGAGTTTAACCTCCCAATAATGTCAACTCTTAATAGTGACATTCTCCCAACAGTGACCTAAAAGTGAAGAACCATGAGGTCGTAACTTGAAAATCTCTCCAATGACAATAGTATTTCACTATTGATAATAGTCACATGATACCCTCAAATAGTGACACTCCGTCAAATATTTGCCACGGGATTCGGCGTTTCAAGCAAAATTCCTCCCAAGTTCACCAACAGAGCTTTGTAGGAAAGTTTACTTTTTCCAAGAACTTGGACAAGGATCGATCAAGAATCAATACTGCAGACTTCGAAGCAGAAGACAATATTTTGCTTCTTTAGACTCTGAAAATTTGACCGCCTCGATCGTCCACGATGCCTTTTGAGCTCACAAGCAACGCAAGACTTTTCAGCATCATTGGTGGTCTCAGCTAAATACTCCTGGTTCTCCACATTGGAGTTCAGACACAAAACATGCTCGGCTCTAAATAGCTCAGACTATTGCAAATTCGTTGAATATAGGCTATTAGTGAATTTATGAGCAATCGTTGGTGAACAATTGTTTAGGTACATTTGTTACTCTTGCATCCCTTGCATAAGTCTTAGGAAGATGACATTGCTAGTGAACATAAGGTTAAGGGGAAGCTCTTGCTCATATGCAATCACCTGACCAGAATGAATCATGACCCATGTCAGCAAGGAACATTTTATATGCACATGCATATCTAGAGCCGGATTGGGGTAGTGGTGGATGAAAAGCAAAATTCATCTCGTCATATCCTGCAGGCTTTTGAGGCTTTTGTATATTAGTTGCTCAGAATCAAAAACTCTACCTCAATCTCAAAGCTCGTATTGGAGAATCCAATAAACCCTACACGTCGAACACTTCAACTTCCAACATGTGGAACTCTAAACTTGAACCCTCAAGCTACAAAACCTCCTCTAAATGACACCTTCCAATAGTGACACTTAATCCTAGTACTAGTATGTGTCACTATTGGGAGGTTAACCTCTGTAATAGATAAAATGTCATTCTTACATCTTGTTGTTGGTACTTTTATTGCATCTCTTCTATAGAGAACATTCATTTCAACAAGTATAAAGATTTTGGAGATTGATTCAAAATGTAATTCATGAAGTTAATTGCATGAATTGCTCGATCTACTCTTTTTTTTACATCTCACTAACACATTGACATGTTTTTTAATTATTGCTTTCATTAGACTAAGAGAGGTATAAATAGATATTCAAACTTTCAAATAAATATGATATTCATGTATTACAAAAACTAAAGTTTACAAGATATTGCATTGAAGTTTCATACTATCAATCTGATGATAAGATATCAACTTTACTATGCCACATAAGTAATCAATTATTTGTTTAGCATAAGATAATTATTATAAGTACATATGTAATAGAAGCAAAATACAGTTTGAAATTCAGTTTTCTAATGTTTTAGATATGTTATATCTTATGAATTTGAAAATAGATATGTGAATATTTTCCATCATCAAATTTATATAGATCAATAGATGATTTTTTTCTTATTTTCAATTCAATATGTATATTTTTAAATATATGAAATTTTCAATTTTTAATTATTGATCATTATTCATTTTTTTCAGTTGGTACTTCATTGAAAGAATAAACAAATTGATAAGTAAATACTTCACTATTTCAAATATTCAAACATGAAAACTTTACCAATCTATTTTATCTGAAATAGTATCACAATGATCAGTACATAATATGATATCTAATAACATTTGGAAATGATTTTTTTAATTTTTTGATGCACCTTTGATTAAGTAATAATTTCATTATTTTTTATGATAATTAATTAATTAAAATAATTAATCATTCAAAACATAATTTGAAAATTTTAAACTTTAGAAAAATCAACTCAAAATTTAAGATTTTTCTCTATTTATATATGTCTATTAATCCTTAGAATTTTTGAAGTTAATTTAAATTTAGCTTAACTTTAAATATCACATGTGTTTATTGATGATGTGGATCAAATCATCTCAAATCACATGATAAAAGTGAGTGTTTACAACCATTTTTCCATTTCAACATAGGAACAATATGATTTTGATGGAACTAAATTTCTTTCTCTGTTTCAGTTTACAATTTCAATAAAATTACTGCATAGTACATTTTATTATCCTCAAGAAAACATCACATGCATTAATCCAGGTTCAAGATCAATATCAATATGAGTAACACAATCTGATTATAAAACTCTCGCGTTCAAACACTTGCAATTCTTGTATCATCAAACATCTGTTTTAAAAACTCTTGCATTCTCACCAACTCTGCATTTTGGAGAGAAAATCATCAACAGTTCCACCATCTTAACAACTTAACCAAGGCTTTAAATTTGGATTCTCGTAAATGTTATACTGCACGTGTGGGTTTATCAGTTCATATTGATTAACTCCAATCACAAAATCATAATCATAATACATTTGGTAAACTAAGCAATTAAATTGGCTGCATTACTGGCTGACGGTGAAGCATACATCCACAAGATACAACAAGCAATGTTTTAGAATTTTCGTTAAATTTTTCCTGCAAAAACAAAGCCATTAAATCCAAGTTCATAGTGAGGTAAAATCAGAACATCTAAGCAAAATATAGGTGGTGCGCCAGGATATATTTCAGTGTGGTAGGAGTATCATTTCGGGTATGCAATCACATATGCTTTATATGCGTGTGCCTATCAATCATTCGCAGTTTAATCCACAATGGGAGTATCTAATTCCTTCTCCACTTCTTCGAGCATATTCGATGTAGGAGTCTGAGGCCTGGGCATCCAAGCATAAAATAGGTCCAGGAAGGTTCGGAGCGGGCATTTAGCGGAAGGTCCCAAACTACAACTGCGAATATCGTCGTCTGTAAACTAGAACGGATGGGCTGAATTTCATGTGCTACAAATTCGTGTCGGGCAAAATTGGACGAGTGGATACAGTGCAGCACTCTACAGCAGTTCGCGCGTATTTGATCCCTGTCTACTCTATCCGCTGCATCTAATTCTCATTGCCCTAAACTGGAGAGCATGCTCCTGCACATCCCGACGGCAAATCTGGAAAGCGCTGGTTGTGGTGGGGTACGAAGCTGGGCATGTGGGTGAGCATCTAAATCAGAAGACCACGTCTCCGAGTGCGATCACGGCGAACTAAAACGTACTGGTACCAGTCCGCGCCTTTTTCTTTCGCTTCTGTTGCCGCTCTTTCCTCGTCTCCTCTTCCCGTCGTTTCGATTCTGCCTTGTGTCGAGCTCGATCCCTTTCCCTCTCCATCAGCTTCTCCTGTACGAAATAGAATCATTTAGCAAGCAGTCTCATCGTCATCCTTGTCGTTCTGAAAATGTTTTCAGTCTCGGTGACGTTGTTGTCATAAAAGCCGAAAAGCCATGCATTCATCTGCCAATTGGAAGGAAGACCGAAACTATTTCTATGTGTAAGTTCTCATAACTCTGAACTCGCCTGAGCATACGTCGAAATAGGCTCACTGTCTGCTTGCGAAGAGGGCAAACTTGGTTTGGTACTATTCTCTAGAGTGTAGGTGAAGCTGAGGATGGCCTTGAAATCGGACACGGATTTCTTACCCGCTGCAAGGTGCGGGCCAGATGTGCATGCTTCTGCCTTGCTTCTTCCGTACTTAGGGCGAGAAGTGTCTTTGCGTAATGATACAGTTCGCCCAGCTGTTGAACACCCTCGTACCTCTCAATAATAACACCATTTCTCGCAAAGAGGACAGTTGGGTATCCGTGAATGTATTCCATTTCATGTCTCCATCTGTTACAGAATCGCATTTTCAGATAATCAGTTCATCTAATCTAAAGCTTTAGGATCACGAGGTGACGGTTGAAGAATTTCTGATCATTACAAAGCTTAATTTCAGCTTCTTGAGTTGCTCGCATCAATAAAACTTCTCACCTTACAACCGCAACAGCTATCGGTGCCCTTAGTCCGCATCAGAGATGGTCGAGTGCAGAAGGTCTGAATCCAGTCTAAGAAAGTGTTCTAGAGCAAAATACAAATTTGCGTTTGGCACTTTCTATTATATCCGGAATGGTTATAACCACTTCAAGAAGGCGTCTTTTTTCTGAAACAAATGCGAGCCTCGTCAAGGTTTTACCTGTAGTCTGATTCTGGAAATCTCGCTATAAGCAGTCCGGTGAGTTCCTTTTGCTTCGATAAAGACACCCACACAGGCTTCATGAGCTGTGAACGTTCTCCTCTGACACAGTGACCAAGTTCGAGAAATTGTGAATAGCTTCCACTCAGTTCGACCCGTGGAGGGCGTCGTAGCCACCTCAAAGCTAATTGCACAATTCACTGCACATGATGTTCTTTATTAACAACCACCGTAATGCACAGATACGGAAGAAAGGCGAGTCGCTACCTCTCGGAATAGAACAAAATCAGGGCTGATTTTCCCCGTGTCAATCCATCGAAGTTGTCTTCTGACAGTTCCAAAATATCATCGAACTCCTATCAAGTCGACGAAACTTCAACGTGAGGAACTGCTGCAGCTAAGAAGGTCAGTTATTTGGAGCTATAACGAGGAATCGACATGAGCGTGGATCAAATGACAGAGAACGTAGCGAAAAGGAACAGCATATGCACAGGATCAAACGCGAGAAGAAAAAACTCAATCCTACCAAGCGAAAAGCGTCAGGGCCAAATCGAGAACCTCGATGGCTGGTACAAATTAATGTCAAGTAGTTAAAGACCCACAACCTAGATTCTATTAAGGAATAGAACCTCTTTCAGAAGAGCCTGTTCATAAATCAACTCGTCCTTCGCTTTCTGCAAATTGCGGGCTTCCTCCTCTTGCAGCTCTTTGACCAGCTCTTTCAGCTCTTCCGTTGTGAGAGAGGTCAGTAGGTTCGCCCAGATCCTCAGATCTTCCAAGTTTCGTGATCCATTAAAATAGCCATATATGGCAGCATCCCGGAAAAAAAGGACACTTGGAACTCCCTCCAACAGACGAGCTCCTGGAAAAGTGCTGAAGTCATCTAAATTTATCTTCGCAACTAGAACCCCAGGAATCTGAGGATCCTTTGCAAGCTCTAGCCAGTCAGCTTTCATGACTTTACAATGTTCACACCTGAATCATACGTAACGAACATAATATACACCATAGGCGGTTACTTGTGAGCCATGAAATCAACCACCAAACCAGGTTCAGAGTGCCCAATCAATGTCATCAGACAGTTTGCGGAGAACAGATTTTAATTTGGCCCTACAATTTTGGGGTAGAGCACGGCAATTGATGAATACATACAAATACAATCCATTTAGTGAACTAGATTCAGCTTATTTTACCTCGTGTTCCATCTCTACAGAATGGACATTCAAGCCTACTGTTCTCTAAGTAATCGTTGGAGTCCTTTGCATCGGCCCGCACGATAATAACCAAAAAGTTGGAAGGAGGTTAGGATTTCGTACCAAAGGGTATATACAAAGACAACGGCATCGGTTTTTGAAGTGAGCGCATAGAAATTATCCTTGTGAAGTGTGGTCACTTGTGATTCAAATTTCAGTGCAGCCAAAGAGTGCAGCATTTCCTCATCTTGAAGTTTCTGTGATCGTTCCGCTTCGGTGTCTTCCAGCTGACCACGGGGATGGATGGGATCAGAAAGCGGGCACGGGGAGTAGAATCAGAACTGTGAGAACAACGGCGGATAGCGCAAACTCCAATCACCTGATGGATGAGTACCAGCCAAGATGCATACCTGTTTTAGGACTTCCGCCTTCCGATCATCGAGATCTGATTCGCTTAGCTCAGTGACTGTAACCACAGCTGCCTTGAGGTCGTCTAAAGTTCTTTCGTTCACCAAGTGCGCCACAATCTGCCCTCCGTGGAATATGAAGATTTGGGGCAAAGTATGCACATATCTCGAAGCTAGATTCTGACGATTCTGAGTTGAGTCTATCAATCCCACGGTGATCGCTACCCCGGCTTCATCGAGCTCCTGCGCCAACGTTGCCCAGAATGGAAGAATTTTTTTGCTGTTTCCTGACCTGCTCTTCACGTACGACTTACATTATACTCAATTCGCTCTTCAGTTCCATACATCAAAGAATGAGAGCACTAGTCAATCTTCCAAACTCTTCTAATTGGTCAACTGGTTATAGTTCATTGGCATGGAAATCCCGTTTGTCTATTTCAACGTGTGAGTCATTGTTGGCAATTCTGGAAGATAAATGATTCTGAAGGGCATCTTACCAGTCCGAATAGTATAACAACAGAAGATAGCCATCGTCAAAATTTTGGAATGTTGCATCAGTCACATGCACGATCTTCGGACCATGACACTGACCATCTTCGTCATCGGCCTCCTGATTCTTATAAAGTTTCCTCCAGTTTTCCTCACCACCAGAAGCGTCAGTAAAAGACACCATGTACAGAATCAGGAGAATGAAGGCCCGTGTTGCTACACAGGGAAGGTTTATCATCGCCATTCTCCGAGAACTGCCGGAAACAGAATCACGTCTTAAATTTCCACTCTTATCCTCATACCGACATCGACGTAGACACTTGGATACGGGCATTCACCCTTATCACCGACTGGAATTCATTCCAGAATTCGAAAATGGTAAAGTGCTGATCAAAAGATTGCTGATCAGACTTCACAAATCTCGAACACATTTCACTGGCTTAGGGTTCTCGAAGCGAGAAGTCCTCAATGAACCTTGCTCGAAGATCACTCTCGCAGATGACAGTTGAACATGCAAACAGTTTCTGTTGGTTCATTCATGTTTTCCCCCAAGGACGGGTGTCGAAGACACCGTGACACAGGCCCAGTAATAAATTACATTACGAGCCAGCTTTAACCAACCGAAAGGACGAGTCATGAGAGCCAAGGTATGTGTGGTCAGTCCAACCGCCGAGACGGAAGCCCAGCGCAAGGTTACCGAGGACGAGGCGAGCGGAGCATGCTCGACCAGAGTGCAACCTTGCAGGCGCACCAGCAGCAGCTCGGGCAGTAGTCATGTTGCCGAGGAAGATCCAAAACAGAAGACTCATCGGCATAATTGCCGACCATCCTTCAAAAGAGGACCCATCGGTGCCGAAACCTCGAAGCTCTAGCGACGTTCCGAGGCGTGTCGTCACAACTTTGTTCAGTACACAGTAAAGTAGTAAAGTGCAGTGGTGCAGTGCATGCTGCTGCTGCAATTGTCTGCAAACGGATAGGCCCCATGAGCCCTCTTCTCTTGCAGTGGGACCCATTCCCAACCTTCGTACAGACCGTCCTCCCAGCCACTCACTCGCTTGAAGCATCCGAACGTCCTTGTCCAAGCCAGAATCTCCACCATTTTGCACCTCGGTCGGTCCGGTTATTCCAGGAATCAAGCCATGTCTCGTTCGGGTTGCCGATCCCGATTCCCGTCCCGTCCCGTCCGGTTACCCTAAGTCAATTCATCCTTATCTTCGTTCACCGTGGTTTCGCAGATGCGTTAGATGATCGAATTATTAAGAAATGTTTCACTTCATGAACCACGAAAATCGTGTCAGTCGGTCGTTACAGAGAAACTTTCCATTGTTCTGTGGTAGCGCAGAGTCGTGTTTCTTTCAGCATCAGACATGAATCTTAACTTCGATCCCAGTTACAGTGGACAGGTCTGTCAAGCAAGGATGTGCAAGTCTACACTCATCAACCTCATCGTCGTTGGTGTCTTGAAGAGGGCAGACAAGGAAGTCCTGGGGGAGGGCAGGGTCAGTAGTCGATCTTCCAACTTCCAGGATGGTTTCTGCTACCGTCGACCCGTTTTGGTTCTGGCAATTCTGGCTTGTTACGACTTTCACTTGACCCAGGGCTTCTGAACCCACTGACCGAGACTGACAACATTGCAAAAGTGGTTTGTAGTTGCACATGCTCTCCTACGCTAATGGAAGCCAGGCTGAGCCAGCCATGGTCCACGACAAAATTACGGTCGGACGGTCAGGTTACTTGAGCACTATTCTCGATGAGCGCTAATCTGAAGCAGTTTGTCCTGTCAGTCTAATGAAGAGACTCAGCAAGAAATTCTCTGCACGAACCGCTCATTGTTGTCCTTGATTGCGCACTTAATTAACGTACTGTACATGCATTACGGGGATTCGACCCGAACGCTACTTTACTCTCGCCGAGTGCATATTGACATTTGCACCGACATTTGGATGGCCTGGCGTCAACACTGGAGACATTGTGGGGGCACGCCTCTTGCTCTTTCCCATCTTACGCACTGGACGCTGGACATGGGGGCAGATCAAAGTGCATGCTTCTTCTCGAGACCGGACGTGAACTTCAGATCAATTTGCCAGTCCAGCAACTCCAGTCTCCACCTTCACGTACGTTGCTAACTAGAGGGAGGCGTGCAGTGTTCCATTCAGCAGATTGCGTTAATAAACCTACTATAAATATTTAGCTTTTGTTTCTCCTTCATCACGCATACAACACACTCCTCGCACCTCGCACCTCCCATCCTGGCACACAATTGTAGTTCGTAGTGACGCTTTCATTCCCTGTATTGTGAAAAGAAACATAAAGTCTACTCGTTCGTTAGAATTATTTGTTCACCCTTATCACTTCTCTCACTTCCCCTCCCTTCAATTAATCTCATACCTTACCTTCTTCTTTCGCTCTGGACCAGTTGTCTTACCACCTCTACGTTTGTTCTCTCATTCAAGACTCAAGGGTTCTCGCCCTTACCACTTCACTCATCCCCTCCCAATTATTTCAATCGATAATGTCCATCTTTTCACAATTGACAATTATTCACTCCTCTGATTCTGCCACTGTCTTCCACCAACACACCACATGTCGTTTGCTATGCCAGTATCACTGCTCTCCCTCTCATCAGTCCACTTGTTCTTGTACTTCCTCAACCTTGAAAACTCCTCACTCTTTCATTGTCTTTCATTGTCTTCATTCCACTGTCAAGTAAAATGTCTCCTATCATCGTCGCACCTTCTGCATTCATTTTCGTCAGATGTTCTTCTTCTCCGTTTTTCACGTCATATATCATTCATTTATGTTCCACTTTTCTTTCTAAAACTGTTTCTTATTAATTTGCTAGTCGCTGCGTTTCCCTCTGTGGTAAGGTCGTTACTCATGTATCCCATGTGGAAGAGACTTTCGCTTGTTTGTAGTTGGTACTGAACGTCTTACTCCTTGTAACCGTCACAGTAGGTACAAGGACAAAGGCACATACGGTATCTTATGTTCAAAAAGTACCTAACCCAAATCCTCTATGGATTGTGGGACATTTATTTACTCATAACGATATGGTTAATGATCATATGAGGATTGTAAAGAGTAATTTTTTCTTGTTATTCTATAGAAAGGACTGAAGATAACTAGTTTGATATGTCCGTGAAATCATGTGAGGTGTATTATCAAATTATGTGATAATACTTATGTGTTTAAGTTAAATATATTAATTATATAAAATAAATTTTTTAATATTAATCTATATAGTAAATGATTGCTCCACTGTTATACACACGAGAGTGAAATTTTATTTTTCTACGTATGATTTTCATGTATTTTAAATATATTTTTTATTTGTAGACCATTTGATATATATATTTATTTATTTATTTTATTAAATTGTGCAGCATGATGAGGTCAAGATCTATATGTATGGTCCGTTTGGATTCATCCATGTATGGCTTGATAAATGTTTTCATCTAATTTAACATAATATTTTTCCTCCAAAAGATGAAGAAAGTTATATACTTTAGGGCTAAATCATATTCATTAATTCCAGTATGTTATATTTTTAGATAATCTTCATCATCAAGTACATGTACTTAAATAACACATAAAAACTTTAAAAAGATATTATTCAAGTTCAAACTTTAATAATTCATCATCATTTTTTTCATCACTATTAAAGTATATTATATTTCATCATGAAATTAAAAAATGTAGAGGTCTTTCATGCAAAATTTCACATAGCCAACAACCACACGTACTCGCACTCAGCCAATACAAGAGAAGAAATACATTGTTCATCTTGTTAGACTTTGTGTTAGGTGTTAACATTACTTGGGTTAGCATGATCTCAGTTAGTGAAGCCGGTTAAATTATTTTTATTATCATATAACTCACTAACGCTATGAGTGACACTTTTCTCTCACTAAAGCCTAAAATGTTCTTGTGGACATAGTATTCAATGATGAACAACGTGTTCGATTTTTTTGGTGATGAAAAAATCTGGAAATTGGTATTAAATTGTTGGATTGTTTTGCTCTTATATTGTGTTGTTCATGAAGTTGCAATCTAATAACAGGTTTGGCTTTGAAACTTTATGAGGGTGATAAATTAGAGATTAAGATCCAAACAAGTTAAGATCAATTACATATTAGAAACCAGAGATGCAAGTAGAGGAGACCTGAGCAAGAGTCCAGAGTTCCAAGGACAACAAAAAGATCTTCATTGCTCACAAAAGATCAAAAGATTGCAGGAATAACAACCATAGGCAAGGTCGGAGCGCCTCGCTAATGATTCTAGCAACTAAACGCAAACACAAAGAGCGAGTATAATAAATGCACGATACCTTGAGGAGTTTGAAATGGAGTATGAAAGAAAGAGATAAAAGATGTAAAGATTTTAGATTTTGATCTGTAAATGGTTTTTTTTTTATTGTAAACTGCAAAACTGTTTGCTGTATCAAGATACAAAGAGAATTTGAAACAGAATAAATTCTAAAATTAGCAAGGAGTGTTATTCCTCAGATTATGCTAATCATCCCTCATCTGCGTGGTCAGTGAGATGTTGCGTAGATCCAACTCAGTTTAGCGATCCCCTAAATCTGACGTGGTTGTCTTAGAAGATAACAATGGCGAGGTGTAGGTGAGCGAATGCTTGGGTGCTCCAACAGCCTTGGAGGACGAGGCCACAAGAGACAGAGAGATTTTCCACCTGTTAATTTTTGAATAAATAATGATATATTTGATTTTATTAGATAATTTAATTATTAATCATTGATATCAATAAGATTTCTGCAAATCAAAGGAATATCACTATTAAAAAATCTCACTATTTATTCAAAAAGACATAAATTTGAAAATATATGTCAGAAAACTTTTAAGGTAAAAATTAAGAAATTTATTGATGAAAATTCATAGAAAAAGACTAAAATTATTTGGTTCTTTCTTGAATTAAATATAAGATTTGAAACTTAATAAATTTTTTATTATGAATTTTTAATTATTCGAATAAGATATTTGAGAAGGTTTTAATTTATTTTAAATGTTAAATATTTCATTTACAAAATCTGAGTTTTATAATTATAAATATACACATTCAAATGTCATTTTTGTAGTTAGATCCAAATTAATTAAAATATTATAAAAGCAAAATATTCGTGTTTCATTATCATGTTGAATGTTCATTTCAAAAAACCTAATTTTTTATCAATATATATACATTTTTAAATAATGGTGTATGATAATTATGATAATGCAAGATAAATTATAAAATTCATATTATAGAAAAAAATTATATATATTAAATGACCATTCAAAAATCTTTTTGAAATACAAATAAAAGAGACTGCAAATTTTATGGTATGCATCAATATTCTATCACGTTATGAATTTTCTGTTTTCTTACATGATGTTTGACTTATTATTTACCTTCAATTTGATTATTTTTGCCTTTTATCAAAAATTTTGATGTAAGACCTACCTATTCATGCCCACAAATCATGAAGTTAGTTTCATGATTTGAGTACTATGGGTAAATTTTAACGACAAATTTAAAGAGAGTTTTGAATGAGTTTTAGATGAGTTTTATAATGTAGACTTAAAAAAATTTCTACTTAATATACTTGTATCATAGTAAAATTTATTGTTGCAATCAAAATGACAAATAACTGATCTTTCGAACTTCAAAAGTATGATCAATATTTTTAAATTATTTAATGGAATTTCAAATTTTTGTCAATTTTAATATATATATCGTTTATCAAGATAGGTTGATTAGCTGTATATGTACCACACTCTATACATGAAAATATAGACTCTTGTTTTGTTTTTTTATGCATCTTATGTACAATTCTCTACTTGTGATCAATCAAATGGACCAGTATACGGTCTCAATGGTCACATATATATATATATATATATATATATTATTTTTCTTTATTTAGTCTATCAAAAGATAAAAAATCGTTGAAAACTTAAACAAAGAGATCCCGAATTTTGAAATATTTTGAAATTGCAAGTAAAGAATGAAAATTGTTAATTATTTTTATCTGATAAAGATGAAAATGTCTAACTTATCAATCATTCAGAAAAAATTCCTCAAAAAAAGCTCAAAATTCTTATTTTCCATATGTTTGAGATTATGAAAGTCAAACTTCAGCTTCAATTTCATTTATGAAAATTATTCAAAATTTCCTTAATCGAACTCATCACTTTTTTTTGTTCTTGCAATAATTTGTACCATCTTTGTCCATGTTCATTTCACATTCTGATCCAGTTTGTATGAAAACTATCCTAATTAGATAGTTGTCTGCACAACTACACCCTAACTTTGATAATGTCACACTTGTTAATAGAACATCTTGATATTGTCACATAAAAGTTCAAAACCGATTTCCCTAGTGTAAAACTCCCTCTTTAATATCACTATCGCCTTTGATAATGTCCCTATTTTTTTTCCAAGATTTCTAGTGTAAGTGTGAAAATATCAAATATGAATGGATTATATGTGATAATTGGACGTGTAGTATCATGAATCTCCCTTGTGATACAGTAAATGAAATGCTACTTGCTTGTACGTGGACGAAGGGTTCGAGCTACAAGGAAGATGATTTCGCGATCAACTACTGTGGACGGAGGGTTTGAGCTGAGAGGAAGATAAATTCGCGATGAGGGAGCGCAGCCCACAGCAACGGCAGAGCTCAGAAGTGCTGAGTCTATGCAGCCTGCAATCAGAAAAGCAATTTAGGTACGTAAATCTTTTATGTTGTGATGGTTATTGTGTAGCTGTACTTGCAGTCATTAGTATCGTTCCTGCTGTAGAGCTTTCGTGGCTCGGATATCCACGTTCTTAAGTGACCAAAGTTGTTGCCTACTTATGCGATTGGCTAGGCAAGTGTAGACTACAAGTGTTCTACGATTTTCTACGCACTTCTCCTAAACTGCAGTTTTACCTTATGAGGAGAGAATTACAACTGGCTTACTCGGGAGCAGCAAGTTTCAATGAGGGAACGGCTGGGCTGCCAAAGCTAGGAGGCCTTGAGAGAGTCATTTTAGTATCTTGTGGTGGCTCCGGTTTGGAAGATGTAAATGTTCAGCCCGCCTAATGGCATTTCTTTCTTTTTTGCTTGTAAGCTTTGGGTTGTCGATTCTCGCTGGCCAGTATTGACATTCTTGAAACGTTTGTCACCATAACGATTTTTTGTAATCCTCGAAGGCTTGTTGCGTTAGATAAATTCGACCATTAAACTGGTTCAATGACAATAGTGCATAAAAATCGACAAGCAATGGCTGACCAGAAATACGTAGGATTTGCATGTCCATTTCTTGGTCTGATTAGATATGTAGACAATCGGATAACAGTCTTGCGCACTCACTATATGTGGTTTTGCATGTCCATTTCTTGGTTTGATTAGATATGTAGACATTTCGGATAACAGTCTTGCGCGCTCACTCACTATCTGTGGTTGTTTGAATATTTTCATTTGTTATTTTTTTTATATTATAATTTTATTCTGAATTTTTATATATTTTTTTATAATATCACATTATCCACAAAATGTGACATTATCAAAAATGTCGCACCTTGTTTATTCACACTTTGAGAGTGTGATATTATCAAAGTTAGGGTGTATAGGTCTATAGACGTAGATTTCTTGAAGCTACTGTGGGCTCTTATCCAAAGATTTGGAGAATATAGAAGGGTACTTTTCTAAATATTAAATATGAATGAGTATCGTGTACTTTACCAGGTATGATATTTCTACCCCATTACGCAGTCTGAATGATCGTACATCCCTCCATTCACGGCCGCTGGAACCTTTCTGTTGTTGGAGACGAACCAAGGAGTATTGAGGGCCGTAAGGAAACGATGAACTATTTATAGGTGGACAGTGGGTCCTGTCCCTTTGCAAAAGGTTGGTCAGGAAAATCAACCGTTGGCGACTGAATTGACCAATGGTGAGGTTGGGGGTTCGATAGGACGGTTCTGTCAACATCATAGATGGGCGTATTCAAGCTGTAAAGTTCAAGCCCCACTAGAACTGTAGATTCTCTAGACCGACTTTCGCTTTCGTCATTCTGTCGTTCGTGTTCATACTTTTCCTTCTCTGCTCCACCCTGCTTTACCGAACTAGTACTCATCCGGATCGACTGAACTAGGCGATCGAATTGGACTTTAATAAAGGGAGAGAAAATGTGACTCATTGCTCAAGTTCGACAACAAGTTCTGTTACCGTTCATCCGTTCATCATGAATCATACCGAAACTTTTTTTTTCCTTATATACGGTTCTGTCTGTGAGCAAGCTTTAGCGAGCAAATCTGCAATTTTAACGAATTTTGCAAAGGTGATGAGCAGTTCCTCTTTGAAAGTCTCAAATAGGTCATAGTTAATAAGAATCATGAAAACTCCAAAACTTTAAAAGTGGAACTTACTCATTAGACGTAAAGCAAAAATCGATGTGCTGGTCAAATAACGACGACGACAAAGACAAAACATACACTATTATGCTAGAAATTCTGTAAAATTTCATTTCATTATTCAAGTTCAATTAAAAACTTTCAAAAGAACAACTCACTGTGCACACATATGGGATTCGATTGCAGGTTTGAACGGGCCGAGAATGATGTTGGAAGTTTGGTCCACCCTGCAATGGTGCCATGCAATGGGGAACATCAGTTGGTATCAGAGATGCAGAGAGCAATTTTTTACAGTAGGATATGGATATGAAGCCAATCTGACCAAAGTCTCTGGATACTTTTTTACACCAACTGAACTAGAGAAGTTGGAGGGCATTTTCCCACCAAGAGGATTTCCCACCAGTGACTCTTGTTTCGTTTCTGTAATTGCTTTCCATCTTTGAATTCATCGCCTCTTGTCAGCCTTTGTCTCTAATTGCTTGTTCAAAGGTAGGAACTGATTTTGAATTTTTGGATTGTGTCTCTGCAGCGTTGTCACTAATCTAGCTTTCTTGATGGAAAGTGAGGTATTTGTCGCGGGTTAGGTTCCGTAAATCCAGCGACATGTTATGAATGGTTTGATGTCAGAATTAAGATAAATGGAATAGTCTCCAGCTTAATGTTGGGAGCACAAGATCTTGAGTTCTACGAAGGGGCTCGAGATCGGGGCTAAGGAGACGCTGGATTTAACATAGGATGATTTGGTTGTGTATGTTGACAGGTTGGCGAAAGGGGAGCGTTGAAGGGACTATCTTTGGTGGAAGGTGGTTCTAAAGGTAAGCTCGATGTATTTCTGGTATGATAGTCAATTAACATGGTTTTGAATCTTGTGGTGGTTGTGAGATATTTGTCTCAGGTTCTAATAGGTCGAGGAGGTATGTGCAAGTAGCAGTGAAGAGTTAAGGGTGAATGAGTTTCTATGGAAGACTACGTCTCGGCTGATCACTATTTTACGGGACAGTGGATTTCAACATCGGTAAGCTTTTGAGTTTTCGTCATACCCTAGGAATATAGTAGGAATTGCTTTGTAATCTAGTTTGGTTCTCTTTTCTTGTAAAATGTGGCAGAAAGCTATGCAACCAATAACTCGGAGATGAGAAAGGTTGTGCCTCTGACCTGAAAATGTTTCTTGGGATGTTTGCATGTTCAAGGCTCGGCAGGGCAATCGATTCTGAATATAGTTCACCACTTTCGCCACTTCCTCCCACAAAAAACGAGGTATGCATGTTCCAGAAGCTATCCTGCGGATGCCTTCTATGAGTTGTCTATTTTTTTCTTTCAGTGACACCGTTTTTGTTGAGGAGGATAACCGAAGGTAACCTGATGGTGAATTTCATGTGTGGTGCAAAACTATTAGAATTCTGTAGACATGTACTCTCCCCCTCTCATTACAATATACCATATTGTGATGATGTGTACAGGTCATATTGTAATGATAGCTCTCTCTTTAGCCTGTACACATTATCACAATAAACCATATTTCGATAATGTGTACAGGCTCGAGAGAGAGAGAGCGATTGAGACTGAAGAAGGAGTTTATATACATGGCCATGGCGGCAGTTTAGAGTTGCTGACGTGTCACAAACAATATACATGGCCATGGCGGCAGTTTAGAGTTGCTGACGTGTCACAAACACTAGGTCTGTTCTATTTACGCTAACCGAAAATGCCTAGTTTCTATAAAAAATTTCTTCCCTTGTTATCCAGGTGATCTTTACACAAAATTACATGATTTGAATCCTCCCAGACGCAAGTGTCTCTCCTTTGTCGCGGACCTCGACAACGGGGAGTGTTGCCTTGAGAATCAGGGCCCTCTTTATTTTCGGTGCCTTCGGAAACCTCATGAAGTCTTAACGACCTATTCTGTCACCGACCATGTTCACTTGAAGAACTGCACTTCTGTTCGTTCTGAGACTGTGCACAACAGTGTGTGTTCGCCTCGAGAACGCCACTGAACCGAACGGTGTGATTAGACCTAAAACTGTGTTAGGATGCGTTAGATATGACGTATGCAGTTTTTCGCTGTGTCGTGATCTCGACGATCTTCTTGCTTGATGTGAAGATTTGTAGATGGCTGTGTAAAATTAGGTGTGGCCATGAAAATTCATGTTACATGGGAAGAGAACGCTACACATTCTGCAGAAAGTTTCGTGTTAAAATAAGCAGAACAAGACTGCAATCCGTTAATAAAAGTCCTCAAGACCTTTGCAATGAGACTACTCCAAGTATTAAAACCTGCTTTCAAGACACTACAGTCATGGGGGTAAGTGTAGCAAACACGAGACAAAGGCCGTCTTACATCAGGGTCATTCAAGTGGAGACTAGAGATCAGACAACATCATCTGCGTGCCTCCGGTGAATTTGCACACCTGTGAAGGTGTCACTATCTATCTCTGAACTGTTGATAAAGTGTGCTAATATCTAACTCCAAGATCTTTGTGCTCTATTGAGTGTTAAACACCCGAACACCTTCCGCTCTCGATAAATCTAGTGAATCTTATCTCGTAATAGAATATATGACAAAGCATTCCTTTCAACATGTGTTCAGTTCCAAGAATTCAGCTTCCTATCTACTAATTGTGGAAACATAACAGGAAGTTCTCTCTTTTTCAGACCATGAACTCACGTAGCGGCGACGATTTGATTCTCTTCCAAAAAGCAGGAACCACAAATTTTAGTGTCCATCGACAAAGCAAAACTACTGACTGGCACTGTTCGAACAATTGAGGCTCCCAACCATTTCGAGCAGAACCTATGGTACTGCAAGCGGAATGGCCAGGAAGTACACCAAACTCTTGCATTGTGGAGCGAAATCGAGCATTGAGACTTTGATCGGTTGCAAGAACTGATGTCTACATGTTTTCGCTTGACAATTCGGGAAAACTTTATGAAAAATGTAAGTTTCATCAACTATTAAGTGCTAAGGAGACCCACGCGAGTTGAGGTAAATTTGCAAGGAATAAAACATGGACTTATTAACCCCATAGGAAAGACGAAACGAAAGATGGAAAGCTACTAGGAAATTCCCTCCTACCAGTCCTAATGCCGCACATGGCGGGGATTGAATATCAAGTGCCAGATGCTTAGCAGGATCGCATACACCTTCCGCAAAGAGGATAAAATGGTGTTTACCACAAAGTGCAAGAACGACATCGGCCAGTAGTAAGGATGTAACAAACGAAATCCCAGACTAATTAGGTGTCGCGACTTCCTACCAATCTGTGGAAAGAAGAAAACGAAATTAGTGTTCTGCATTTCTTCATCGAAGTACCTAGGCTCAGCTGTACTCACGATACTATCTTGCACATAAAATCTTAATCAATAAAATTCACCTGTTCTTCAGAACTTTACTTCATAGACAATTTGATTTGATGGAATTTGCACTGGACGAAGAGGGGAGGTGATATAATCACTGCTCAATAAACCTACCGGAAAGAGATAATCTAAGGTTTCCCAAGCGGCATGCCTGACAGGCCTTGTTGGATACAAGGGTCCCCCAGGAGAAGTGAAGCTATATAGGGCAGTCTTCAAACGTGTGCTGGTAGCAACGCTCAGTTCCACACCTAAAAAAGAAAGAAAAAACACTGAAAATCAATCCAGAAGGCTAAACTCAATAACAGCCAGTATCTTTCATTCAGGTAAAAGTCAAACAGATTGAACAAGCTATCTTTTAACATATAAACATGTTCCTTTTCACTATATCACTTGGACTTTCCCTCTTTTATTAACATATGAAGCAAAGAATAAATAATGCAGAGCTTATCTTGAAGGCCCGGACAAAACTTGGAAGACCAATGCTATCTACAGGATCTCCACTAGAACGTCAGAACAATCATCCAGTTTTAGCTAGAAATTTCCTTTGTGCGAAATTCCAATGCATCCTGAAACTTCCCTTTACCAAACCGGATCCTGTTAAAGACTTTGATCTCACCTTTCAGAACTTTTGCACATTCAAGATATTTGATTAGCACTGGCTCCACCTTCACCCTTTGCAGCTGTAAGCAAATTTCAAAAAACTGAGTACTCGAATTTTCTTTGTTGATAACAATAGCTCAAAGCCTCATTTTTCATCAACGAGGGTATAACAATGAAACGCTATCGTACTACAAACCTGGTCGGTCAGCTCGATCACGAATAGATCGGATGGTCCCAGACTGGTATGGTAAGTGGGGAACTGAGCAAGCAACTTATCCAGCTGCGCGGCTGCAACATTTCACAGTCCCCATATCAGATATCTGAGCACAAATAGCAGCGTCAAAACCAAACCTGTGAACATGATTGGGCAAAAGCATGGTAAATGGTAAATGGTTTAAGCATGTAGATTTAGTCGAATCCAGCTGAAAGTAAAAGCGCACTAGTACGACTTCAGAAATAATTGTCTAGCCACGCCTTCTTAGCTTTCCAGCAAGCTTGTTCTCAACATACATCTGACAAAACTAATTACTCGATATCTCCAAGGAGAATGGATGTTTGAGAGTTGTATGCACTCATGTAAAATGTTCAGCCTCAAACTACAGTACCAGGTTCATAGAAGAAAAAGAACCTTGACATCATAAGAATGAGGTCACGCTGTGCCTGTACAAAATGAAGAGTCACAAATGCGTAAGATACTTGATGCGACATGACAGGGAGACCGACTATACCTGCACATGGGATAGAACAAGCAACATTCTTACTGTATACTGTCAATTTTTGCTCACTGTTTCAGCAGGAATTGTAGATGAATCATGATGCTGCTTCTGTAAAAGCAGCAAGATACTACCTTCCTCATATAAATAGATCCTTTTCAAAACTAGGCACTGAGAACGGAGGTCATTTACCTGGTTAGAAACTTTTCCATTTGGTTTTTGCTTCATGACCACCTCTTCTAAGGTGTACTGCGAGCAAGTCAAGCAGTGAAACACTCAGAGATGCCGGTCCAGAGATTGCAAACTTTACTTTATGGATCAAACTATTGAACATGACAGAGCGGCTAGCCCGTCCTTCAAGAATCAACCCCGTCGCGTATGAAGAGACGTTCATGCTAAGCGCCTTACATGATAAAGAGAGAAGAAGCGTTGTTCATTACTTTGCAGATCAATCCTGCCAGTTCACAAAAAAAATAAAAAAATCAGAGACTTCCGTTGTAGGGCTATTGTTGTGCGTAAGATAATGTTTGGTTTTCTTCTTTTCAGCCTATTGGAGTTTACTAGAGAGTTTACTTCTTAGTCAAACATTCTCTATTCCGATGTTGATCCTAGAACTTAAGATTGGTTACTTTCAGTAATAAAGTCGCACGCATTGACGATAATAAAGTCTCAAACAAACCGGAACTGCATAATCTACTACCCTAAGGAAATCGCCCCTTGTCATGTGAGATGATGCATACATCTTGCTCATTTTATCATAACATGAGATCCTTCAGAACAACGTAAAGTTGCTCATGACCTTCTGGCCAATATAACTACAATAAGTCACTTAGACCGAGACACGCAGATGCTCGCAGAGCTTGATGTATCTCAATGGTGATGAAAACTGAACACAGCAATGAATCCAAATCACATACCAGTATATATTACTCGCTCCCTCTACAAAAGCTGTGGAGTACCGTAAGTATTTATCTGATTCTGCAGTTGGTACCTCAAAGAGCTGTCACACAGCAAATCATTAATGTCAGAATCTTGAAAAGTCCTTGACCTCTTTCTGTGTTTGAGGAAAACACCTCATCAAGTGATTCAAATATACTGGTAATTTCACCACACACAAGAAACCTTAACATGTCCATGAGCTTGTGACAATGAAAAGAGATGTACTTTTTTTATCAGATCAAGAAGATCCTCTACAAACAAATGTCCTTAGCAACAAACAATAGAACACAGATCTCAAGCTTACCCACTGGTAAAAGAGAAGAGTAAAAATTTGAGATGCGAAAGATTGGCTCCACAGCTGCAGAAACAGCTCGAGCACCTCCTTGCCATCTTCAGGTACTTGAGCGTAGTGCTCAGCCAGAACTTCGTAAAAGCAAAGAGGTCTCACTACGTGATTTGACTCGGGGCTGATGTAACTTTCACTATTCTCATCTAGCCCATAGAGCCTCGCTGCAAAAATGTAAAGTTTAGGAAATACTTCAACGAGAAAAAACTTGAAATCTTAGACAGGATAAGACCTGAGACAACTCCTGAATTCCACATGAGTCACCAGCTCAAGTAGGAAGGAGAATAGAAATTACTTGACGTATTGGAAAATATTCGTTCTTAGTTACAGTGAATCCTGACTCACCTCTTGCTCTGGAATCCACCTCCAAAGCGATGTCAGTAAAGAGCTGACGCAAGAGATCCACTCGCTGAATAGGAGAATCAAGTGCCTGTATTTCCAAATACAGCAACATTGAAAAAAACGTTTCACCAATATACTAGGCGACAGACTCGAAACTCTACATGAATATTCTTATCAATCTATCCATTCACCTTCTTGATGAGCACGAGTACTAACCATGATGAAAATTCATTCTTAAACTTCGTGTTTGACCATTACTTGCTACATATATCAAGATCCTTAGGGTTTCCTAGCGGATTGACAGACTATGAAAAAATTGTTTCAAAAGAGGTGCTGAGAGATTTTGACGAGCAATCAGCTGCTCGAGCATACACATTGCCTTGGAATAAATTTTGCTAAGGTCCAGGAAATTAAAAAAACCATTATCTGCGTTTTCAACACAACCACCCCCACCATCTCCCGGCAAAGATAAAATGCACTACAAAGAATGGGAATCCATCGGAGAGAATATATGAAAAAGTAATCCAAAACCCCAAAACTTCGTCAGGTCTGCCAGAAACCCTGCTTCAAAGTGTCAAAAACTATGGTACGCTCGTTGTTCCAACTTTCTCACAGGGATAATAAAAATCTTCCTTCGAGCATATCTTCAAGGTACCAAGCTAAGCCAGAACCCTAAATATTTACATTGGTTTAGATTATCTCTGAACCTTCCTGGACTATTGGACTATTGCTCGGTTGATGTAGCAAAGCATTACAGGACTTTGTCCAAATTATTCTGAGTCTCAATTGTACTCCATACATTTCCCATCAACTCATGCTTCTCTCATCTCTCAAGCTCGGTTGATCTACAGGCCAACTCTGCGACTCATCTCATTATATCTACCATCATCAACATGAGGATTATCATTTTAATCCTGAATATACTATCGTGCTTCTAGCACATTAGATTGTAGAAACGTTCGTTTACGTGAGAGATGACATTGTAGCATCACTGATTGCCGATTCTTACTCATCTCTGAGCATGAGAAAGCCGCGAAAAGCGTTGGTGCCACATCATTGAACAGAAAAGCCGCCAGAAAAATGCGAAGAAATGTCTGAATTTCGAACCACGCCGGACAATGGTCTCAAAGTTACTGAAGCTAAATCAAGAGAACAACGCTTGTAGCTAAACCAACCAAAATTTTTAATTTCTATAATACTCCAGTTGAATTGCGATGGGAAAGACCAGGAGAGAAACTTTGCTACCTTTTGAAGCTTCTTCTGCACTTCCAAAATTAATTTCCTCCGGTAGGGTGAGGGCGCTAGCCGCTGACGGGCCTCCACGGATGCCACCATCTGCTCACAATCGGCCAGAACTCATGCTAGAATTTCCCCCATCCCCATTGCCTCTCCTGCATCCCTTGTGCCCAATTTCGTCACACGCAGTCCACGGATCTTCTCCAAAAATCTACAAAAGGGAATCCATGAGCTAAACCATCACACTCTGACAACCTCATCTACAGTCCACCGGTAGAACCCTCAACATCCAAGAACCATTCCAGCATCTGCACATCATCAGCTTCCATCATCGCATTTCCTATATCGAGCGCGTTATGCAATCCTCGTCTATGTCTCTGTGTTTCTCTTTGCCCGTCCACCTCCTCGTCCTGCACATTTGTCCCCCTCCGGAAAAGCTCTTCGTCCTGTCGAGGAACATGTCCAGCCTCCCGGTTCTTACCGCCGGCTGTCGTTTCCGGGATTCCGATCCGTCTGCATTGACGCGTGTCTTCTGGATAGAGATTAACGGATACTGTACCTATTCCGGGTGGTGGGGGGGGAGGGAAAACTTTGCAATTAGAGTAACATGCGTTCACACAAATAGATCCGAGCTTTTCGTGAAAGCTGCTCCCGAACACTTTTCATTTCGCTCCATTTTCTTCTGGCTGCGTCGCTCATTTTGATCAATGTCCTCTGGTGGTGGTGATTTCCTTGTGGTGCCCTCTTCGGGCTGAAGCATTTGGCGAGAGTTTAGAGACTTTGGAAATTGTTAGCAATCGGGAGTAAACCTCCGTGACTCCACGTTTGTCGATTCGTCAGGTTCTAGCTTTGAGTTGTAATGGTTACTCTAAATTTATCGAATATCATGTATAATTGGTATTCCACTTTTCACTCTCAGTTGCATAGGATCATAGCCTACAACGAGAAGTCATTGAAGGTTTGGAGTAAAATATTTAATGACCAAATAACCTTTTAAACTATCTGTTACAAAAAAGGCAGTAGAAGTGATAAACTTAAATATACTACAGAAACTTGAAACTAACATACATGCATATTTCACCTTTGTACCACAGTTTGCTGCTTGATGTGTGTTTTAAAGTGAGACGAACTTTCAAAATTCAATCTTCCTTTCGTTTTGCCCTATCTAACTCTCCCATAATTTTTAAAGGTAAATTCAACGATAAGGGTCTTCCACTGCATTATAGTTTTAATTCTTAATTAGATGAAAATGAATATATATAATATTATGATGAACAACTAAAATGAAATAGAAACATCACGGATGGGGAAGAGTAACTTAGTCATTCACTGCATGAAGTTGGCAACTAAACTTTGTAAATTTCACTTTTGTCTCTATAATTTTATTTTCTTATGAATATTTTTAGACTATGGTGATATATATGAAAAGAGTCACTTTGAAATTTAAAAAACACAACTGATTTTTATCAAGAATGTTCATAAAAATGTGAAATGACATATCGGAGTTAAAATTGAAAATTATTGATACAATATTATCTTAAAGTAGGGAAACACCTGAAAATCAAAGCAAATAAGTTTTCAAAGTTCTCAATGCTCAAGATTTCATCTACTTATGCATGGGATCCAAAAACCTGAATATGATTAATGATTTTTTTTATTTGATGCATTTATGTAAAACATTGTACAATCCTGTAAACTGATATTTCCAGTTTATTAAATGAAATGTCCAGCCATCTAATTTCTGAGTTTGTACTTGAAAAACTTACGCCTTTCTTCAACAAGCTCACACAAAATAGGCCCAGAAGATAAGTTAAAACTGAATTTCTAGGATATTTTATAGTATAAAACTTTTCTAAAAGTTAGTCATGCAATTTCATATAGTGTGCTGTAGAGCTTTTTACTTCATGTCATAACAGTTCTTGATTGCTCTCTTGGAAACAAGCCCACATTCAGTGCAGTGAGGTCGATGAAAAGGAGTATGGTTGACGATAATTCCAGATACTTACACATGTACAAATAATCTTTATACATCTTTTGGGAAAAATAAAGAACAATATCCTGAACACATAATGATATTCAAGCCAAGACAAGTAGTTCAAAGTGTAATGACTTTTAATTCCATTATAATTTTAATTTTGACACTGATCGTCAAAGTTGGAGACATCTATACAGATATTAGATATAAATGAATTTATTTCGCAATGCGGACTCAAGAAGTGCTTCATGGGGGTAGGCACCGACGTAGGTGCTGGAGTTGTAGCTGAAACAGAAAAAAAGGGTTCCTCATTGAAACTTGCCAAACAAATTGTTTGGTGCGTAACAGTCAACCCGATCAGAAAAAAAGTCAACCAAAGCGAAGAAAATTCTGGCATAAAGGCGGAGGGAAGATGATACTTCACCATTCTCACGATCACCAGGAATCTCTCCTACATTCACGCTAATATCTATTGCATTGAGCTCATTGGGGGATTTTAAATTCTCAATCGACGGGCATGGAATTATTCCCTTGATGCTCGCCTGCCATACCCTTGAATTGGAACAGATTGCATCCCTTTTGCTGCTTGGTACTGTGGCTAAAATTGGAACAGAACAATTATGCAGACCCATAAGATGTTTTACGGGGTAAGGATTCTTCAGTAGAGTACTCCATACCCTCGAGAGATCAAGAAAAAATGATAATATTGGAAGTATGAGAAATATTTTACTGATTGATCTGGGTAGCGGAAAATTATACCAGGCAATTTTCATGGAACTCACATGAATGTCTCCCGTTATCCTTCAAACATTCTTACCCTGCTTCCATAAAAGGTTAGGGGCATGTTCTGACCCCTCGGTTAACTTCTTCCAATTGATTTTGCACGCTTTCTTCCAAGAATGTCTGGCCCCGCCTCAGCATTCGACACTGATATTATGAGCACATCATATAATTCCTGATTCCCTTCTTCTTGCTCCCTTCGTTTCTCGTCTGAAAGCTTGGCATGTTAGCCTCAAAGTTAACACTACACGGAAGGTGTCGAACAAGCACCACACCCCGTGCTCACCTCGGTGGTCATTTCATCTGCTCCTTAGTCAGGCTCCTTGGTGGCTTCATTCATCTTAATCTTCAGCTCATTTATTGTGTGCAAATTCAGATCATGAAAGCTGATCTGATTCTTTGATACCTTTGAGGTCCTTGTCCTTGTCTTATTTGTTGACAAGGAAGGGAATATGAAATCGATGAGATACGGATGGACTGTCCGGGTTTCATGAGAAGCGAATGGATGTACTTTTGGCTTTAAGTCTTGTAGATAGGTTTGGTGGAAGAGCTTAGGGAATTATGTTGCATACATACTACGTATCGTCGAAGGTACATGGTACATCCCCACGGACAATCGGGACGGGTCAGACGACGCACTAGATCACAGTCGGTGAACGTCGTCCGCCGTGGAAGTACACAGTCTGAAGAGTACGGAGTCGATGTGCTAATGGATTCTGTGCGCATCAGACCACGTCAGCTTTTTGGGTAGGACGCCGCTAGTGTATGGCACCGGCGACGCTGTGGACTACGTAGGTCAAGGTCCAGGAAAGGAGCATCTGCTTGTATTTCATGTTATTATGTACATAAATACTTGACATCTGAATGCAAATATCTACAACCTTGTCTACTTCCACCACCGCAGTGCTTCGTGTTGGCGCGAACCGGACCTCTCGGTTCGCCCTTGCCCGAGCCAGCGGATCAGCCCCTAAAGGAGCTGATCCGCTGACCGGAGCAGCGTGGACAGGGAGGAGAAGAGGGCGTGGCGGGCGCTCCCGAGCGGTGGGAGCACAAGTGAATGTCTGACTGGCTGACTGGCCACGGGCCTCGTGAAGCGAAGAGTGTAGACCTCGAGCGCCATCGGAGCGGAGCGCAGAGGAACACGAAGTGATGAAAGAAGTGTGTAGCGCGAGAGATCTGTGGCCGCTGGCGTTTGCCTCGGGATCAGGAAGAAGTTCAAACATCAGTCGACGATTCGAGAAATGTCGAATAATGCGCGATGGTGTGCTGGTGCCGAGATGGAACTCAATTCCTCGAAGGCTTGCGGTTGCTCTTCGGATTCACCGGACATGCCGCCATGGAACGCGTCCTCTTTTGTGCGTTCGGATGAGGTCTGCGATGCCGTCGTCGTCGTCCCCCGACAACGACTATCACTGGATGGATAAATCTTCTGTGAGAGATGGTCCCTCCGATGATGGTGGTGGTGGTGACGATGACGATGAGGGTCCTCGGTCTCGAGACTTGAGCGAAATGTTGCGAGAGTCTGATTATCCCAAGGAGTTGCGAAGACGCCCCGGCGAAGGCCTCCCTCTTACTGATAGCAACGCTCGAAGATTAATAAAAATGAGGCAAGAATGGGAGAGAAAACTGCGGAGGGACCATGGTCCGAGAGTTGAAACTGAGAGGCGCTGGATAAAGAGAACGCCCGAACAGATGAAAGTCTTCCTGGAAGATGGACGCTGGCAGCATCGATGGAAACAGAGGTGCCTCACGAGAATTTGCTTCGAGCATTCGAATTGTGAATTTGATATTTCAGCGTCTCCACTAGTCAGAATTTCCATGATTCAGATCTTTAGTTCCTAGAATCTTGGTTGTTTTCCGAGCTACATAAAGTGGAGTTAACTGGGTCCTTTTCGCAAGTATGTGACGTTCGTGTCTACTCTGTAAGAATTGACTTCAGGAGATTTTGAGTGTATGACGTTCACAGGATACATTGCGTGCTGGCACTGCATGCGTAAACAACATTTCGAATAACTAAAATGAACAACTTGCCCGTCGTGCATGTGATCAGACACAATCGTCATGTGGCTGCGGCAATTGCCTTAGTGCGTCAAATGGCATCAGAACCTGTGGACCTCATGAACATGAGAAAGGTGAATCTGCTGTAAAAATGTGTCTCTTTTGGATTGTATCGTTTTTGCTGCGTTGGACATCAAAACACTGGCTGTGTGTTGAACTTCTATGGCTCTTTTAGAATTGTGGGAGTTTCCTCATTCCATCTATCGTTGTGGTGGATTGCTCGAAGTGTGGCCCACACGAAATGTGCCGAATTGTCGTACACTTGACTATTATATTGCTCTGTGTTGTGTATACTTGTTTCAGGCAATGGTGCCCTTTATCGGCCGACTTTCTTTTCGAGAAATGTGCACTGTCCTGAAAGAGCTGAAGGATTGGAAGGTGGCCCGCAGTTTTTTTGAGTGGATGAAGCTTCAGATGTGCTATAATCCTAGTGTGATACCGTACACTATCCTTTTCGGCATCTATACACAAGCTGGGAAGCTGGATCTTGCAGAGAGAGCTATGCTGGAGATGCTGCAAGTCGGTTGTGAACCTGACGAAGTCATGTTTAATACTGTTATTGAGGCCTACGCGAAGTTGAGCATGTCCGACGAAATGGTTGAAGTGTACAAAGCCATGCGCCAGCGGGGTCTTGTCCCACCTACTGGGACTTTCGCTCGAATGATTTCTACCCTCAACCTTAAAGGCTCACTTACAGATGCGGTTATTCTCTGGGAGCACATGCTGGAAGCTCAAGTTGAACCGGGCCCTTATTGCTGTTCTCTGATGATTAATGTATATAGGAAGCTAGGAAAGCTGAAAGAAGTTGTGAACGTATTCGAGAGATCGCAAAAGGAAGCCTACGTCGTTGATGAGATATCCTACAATATGGCTATTGACGCGATGGGCAAGCTTGGTCAGTATCAAGCGGCACGAAGTGTTTTCGAGTCTTTAGAGGAACAAGGCATTGTTCTCAACAAGTATTCGTACTCAACAATGATGAATGTTTGCTGTAGAGCTGGGGACTATCATGGTGCTGCAAATATTTTTGCTATGATGAGGCAGAGAGGGTGTCCACCAGATGAAGTTGTCTACGGTACAGTTCTTAACGCCTATGGGAAAGTAGGGCTATACGATGAGGCAGAAGCTGTATACAAAGAGATGCAGGAAGTGGGATTGATTTCTGATATAAAGACGTACACAACCATGGCAAATGTGCTCGAAAAAGCAGGAAAGCACTCACGGGCATTGGAGATATTCGATGAAATACGGATTCAATCTCTTCCAATGACAAGATATGCCTGGAACACCTATCTCCACTGCTGTGTGAAAGCTCAGAATTTGCCTAAGGCTATCGAGGTGTTTCATCGCATGCAGGAGGAAGGGGTTGCAGATGTAGTGGCGTACAGTAATATGTTCGCGCTCTATGGGAATCTTCATCTTGTCGATAAATTTGAAAGGTTGGTCGTACAAATGCATGAGAATGAAGTCAAGCCCGACATTGAGTGTTATGGGACTCTTATCAACATCTACTGTAAGCTTGGAAGGTTGGATGACGCGGAGGCATACTTGGCTAAAATGCTTGAAAATGGCTTGTCACCTAACAAACATATAGAGACAATGCTGATGCAAGCCTACGCGAAAGCTGGTAGAGTTGAGGATGTAGAAAGATTATATAACGGAATGGAGGAGGCCGATGTTTATGCTGCAAGTGCCATGATCGAAGCCTATCAAATTACCGACAAGAAAGTGGACGCAATGGTCATAGCAGGTCGACGGTTGGGTCCTGGAGGAAATGATGACAGGCAGATGCACGATAATCTACTCTTGAAGTTCGCAAGATCAGGTGAGAGATGCCATATCCTCTACGGGCTGTGAGTGAAAAATTCGGAAGAATCGTGTGATAGACCGGAGGATCTAACACCTTTATCAGAAGATATGGAATCTCGTTCGTCTTTACATATTACGTTGCTCTTTATCTGGTGTGCTAAAGCAGAGAACGAACTTTTCCCGATTTCTGTGGGATTTGTTGATTAGAGGATATGCTAAGATAATACTACTCTTTTCAGGCAAACTGAAAGAAGCGGAATCACTCTACACTCAGATGATTGGAACGGACTGGATCCCTTCTGAGGAGATTCTGGTGTCAATGCTCGCTCTCTATGGACGTAATGATAAACTGGAGACGGCACTGGATCTATTCGAGCGTAACCGTGCGGACGGTGTGGCTCCGAGTAACGTTCTGTACAACACCGTCATCGATGCTTGTATCAAGTGCAGAAGGCTAGATCATGCATCCCGATTGTTTGAGGAAATGGATAACCTGGGCGTTGGGTATGATCATGTCACTTATTCGTCCATGATTCACGCGTACACCAAGGAAGGTTAGTCTTTTGAAGATGCCTCCTGTTTTACAATTGTTGATCTGGAGATGACGTAAGACGTATAGAGTTTGGATCTTGCTTCAAGACATTGCTGCATTATACTGAAGAAAAAGAACAAATATCGGAATTTAAGAAACGTTACTGGGGTAAGTTAGAGAATTTATGGTTGTCAGATGTTTGTAGCTGAAGTTTTATAACCTAGAGACTTCTTTTCTAATAATACCTCTGTGTTCCTCTCGAGTGAGCGGGAAGGAAAACCTTTTTTTGAGATTAAACTTGCTACTGTATTGTTGTTGTGAAATTTGGCAGGAAAGCACCCGGAGGCAGAGGCCATGGTGGCGAAAATGTTAAGTGGAAGCTTGAATTTGGATATAGTGGCTTATAACACAATCATGAAAACCTTTCTGGAATCAGGTAAACCCTGATCATGGTTCGAACGATGCTCGCATGTAGTCTGCTCTTTAAGAAGTCTGAGAACGCACTTGCACAAGAACTGCATACTGACAGCGTTGGTGATTTTGAGCAGGCAATTTGAAGCAGGCAGTAGCGGTTTTTGACAAAATAAGGGAAGCTGATATCAAGCCAAGTATTCATACCTATTCCATTGCTATAAGGTGAGGTGACTTGAGATGCCTAAATCCTTTCTCAGAATCGATAGTTCTTTAGGCATATGCGAAACCAACGTTGATACAAGCCTAGTCGATTTTATTTAAAATTTAGTGATATACCTGAGTGATACACCTAAATTCTTAAGGAGACAAACCCTTTCAATTTCATTTACATTTGAGTGATATACCTGAGTTCTTATGAGACAAGCCCAGACGATTTCATTTACATTCGAGTGATATTCTTGAGTACTTATGGAGAGGATTTGATGATAAACATAACAAGGTAACTTGATATGCTCTCTGCTCTAAGCCACATCTCATTCAACAAGCTAACTCACGTGAACATAATCGTAGGGTCTTCTCTGAAATGGGTGATTTGGAGAAAGCAGCTATCTTGTTTGATGAGTTGCAGGCCTCCGGAATTGCCGTCGATGAGAAGGCTTACAGCCAGATGATCCACTCGTATGGAAAAGCAGGTTGGCCAACTACCCTTTACTTTCTTATCTGTCATCCAGTACTTGTGTTTAGTCATCTTGAACAGTAGACTCTACAAGTCACATCTTAAGTTGTCTTAAGAACTTTGACAATGCTTTTCTACGCCCGCGCGTAGATCAGCCCTTGGTTCTGTAATCTTTAATGTATTTAATGCACCTAGTGACTGAATATGTGAATAACGGCACATGTCACTGCTCATGAAGTCTTCTGAAGTTGGTTCATATGCATATCAGGTCGCTTCCAGCAAGCAGCCCATTTATTCAAGAGACTCCAAGTCATTGGAATACGACCTCATAAGGTAGAAATTATTCCCTTTGGCATCCAACCATGTCCCATCGATTATCAGCTCTATGCATGTGAAACCTTGCTGTAATGACCACTGGTTAACCTCACAGCTGGTACTGCTTGGGTGGAGCGACAGGTGACTTGGAATACCATGCTTGATGCTTTTGCGAGATCTGGTCAATTCGACGAAGCAAACATGCTCTTTAAAGAGATGAGTGAGCAGGGCCTTGTTCCTGATGAAGCTACGTACTTGTCCTTGCTAAGCGCATACGGAAACTCAAGGGAAATGTGTAAAGAAGCAGAAAGTGTTTTGAACCAGATGCGGAACGAAGGACTATGTCCGAATGTCCGACATTATACTGCAGTCATAAGGTCTCTGGGGAGGGCCTCCATGGTGGATGATGCGGCTCGAGTTTATGCAGATATGGTGAATCAGTATGGAATTATGCCCGATCCTACATGCTATCGTTGTATAATGAAAATATATGCCAGATATTCTAGGTTCAAGCAGGGTGCAGCTCTGTTCGATGAGATTCGAACGTTGGGAAAAGCCGATGGTTCTCTTTACAACATAGCAGTGGAGTTGTACGGGAAAGCGCAGAGGACAATTGAGGCCAAGAGCCTTGTGAAAGAAATGGAGAAATTAGGCTATACTTATGATGGCAAGTTTTCATTTGAAAGGAAAAAGATACCATTTCCCAGAATTTGGAGAAAGGCCGACACCATCAAGGAGCGTGTTAGTGATTCCAAGAAAAGTGCCAAGCGCAAATACAAAGCACAAGTGTGGAGGAAGGGGGATCCGATTTGAGTCTTCTTTTTCTACAAAGGGGGTCGAAACGGCAACTTTCAAACTTCAAACAGGACATGCTAGTTATGGTATGTAATATTGCTGTCCAGCAGTCTCTTCACAGTCAAGACTTCGATAGGTGCCGAAGGAAATGAGGAGGTTGATTGGAGACCTACGGGCATGTGAAAGAATACGCTTTGTCGTATTTGGAGACGCTGCTTTAGACAAGGACCAAGTTATTTTCCGGTAATTTTGATGACCAAACCTAGTAGTGTTTTTGGTCCTGTGTTCACTGGGAGCAAACATGGTGTACGCAGTGTCTTACTTTCATGGTTGAGTGCTATTAACATTAAGAAAGCGATCACTTCATGTACATGTTCGAGGCGACTAACTAGAAACAATCAATCGGTTCTGTTAACAAACGTAAAGACCCAGGACGTCAAATCACCTAGTGCGAAGTTCATTCAAAAGCCGTAGGTCACCTAAATAGTCGTCATGACTTTTGAAAGCTCTTCTGTTGCGCGTGCGGAATGTCCATTTTGGTACGTTCTGAATACCTGTGACGCTGGCTCGGTTGTGATGACAGGTAAGGCTGTCCAACATATGCTTCTAGTATCAATGCAATACGAAGTGAATATGTCCATCTACGGTAGATACGGAAATCTACCTGACGGAGATGGGTAAGGACCGCGGACTAAACTTCTTCATTGTGTGATATTTGTGTATCTGTTGTGGCCTTAGTGGTATGTCGTTTTCTCTTTCGGTATGGTGTGTTCTTAAATATACACGTGCTTTATTAGAACTGCCTCTTGTGGATAAACTAATCAGCGCCATGTTGTTTTGTTTCTGTAGCAGATTGATTCCTTCGAACTGGCGCATTGGATTTCATTTGGATGTTCAAAACAGTCTGCAAGGACCGGATGCCTACATTCACAACGTCGTATAGAATGTGTAGGATCTATGATACCCTAATTTGGCATCAGTAATTCACGTACAGAGCAGACTGCGTCGGAGAACAGCTCACGGTCATGAGTTCGATCTGGAAGAATCCAAAATACCAGTTTCAAACAATCGTGTAGATATTCACTTCATGTGCTCAACGTTTTCTCTGTTTTCTGTTCAACGAAACGTTTTCTAGAGCGCTTTACGTTTTACTTTGGCACGGTTGGCCTTTCTGTGCATTTTGGGTCCTCCGTACACCTTACCAGTGCTTACTGGCCGAGTAATTTCCTGTATTGTTGGTGAATACTTTCCAATCATGTTAAGAGATTTCAAGAAGTTCACCTAGCAATGTTGTTACTTATCTGGGGAACTTGATGTATCCTTGACAAGCACATCGAACAAGCTTTTGTCCTTATCGCAGATTTCACAAGTTTATCACCACGTTTCAACCGAAGCCCAGGGAGATTACGAAACGAGGGCAAAAATCGGGATACCGGTCAGAGCCTCAGAGGGAAGCCAAGAGAGTGACGTCAATAGCAAGAAGTTGTTCGAAGGGACTTACTAGTTGTCTGACAGGTTCAGACAACGAGAAGTAGGTCCCGGAAGACGTACCATGTTGGGCGATGCCAGAAAAGCATTTGCAACACAGAAGGAGATGAGTTTTCCCACCAAGCCAACAGAAGGTGCTAGGCAAACCGCCTTTACTTATGTCCGAAAACTCCAGAGCTATCAGGCCTGTGGACGCTGACACCGCGCCAACTCTGTGCCTCGCGCAGCTGCAGTGACGTCACAAACGAGATCCCGCCAACTGTTCAATTGAACCGATCTCGGTGCCAACCGAAGGGCATCGTCCAGTTTCTAGTCTCGTTTCAACGTCCTGTCTTTTAAATCACGGCAGGGAAAGACAGACGCCTTGACCTTCTGTTGTCGAAGGAGGAGAATATTGCAACCAACAGCCAATGCATTCAGCGGGTGCTTGAGATGAACGCTGTGAACTTCAGCCTGGGGCGAACAACGCTGATTTTCGGTAACAAGGGCCTGTCATGAGGACGGCGGGTGCCCTGGGCTCCTTGAGCTTAATCTATTTCAGAATTCCAGATCACAATCTCATCGAAGTCGCATACAAACCACAATGAGTAGGAATCGGTCACCGTCGTCCCGTCTTGTATTTCATGCTTGGTGCCAGCGGCGTCCGGGACCAGTCTCAGAGCCATAATATTTCATTCGGCACGCCCAAATTCCTCACGCCATGTTTAGAAAGTCCATGTCGTCGGTCACTCTGGTACCAGTCCGTGCATGCTACCGCAGAGAGAATATTGCAGAGGCTTGTCTTGCCATCTCGGGTCCAGTTTCCATGGAACTTGAACGCAGCACGTGCTGTCCTCAGTAAGAGAGCACCGTCTGGCAAGAGAGCATCCAGCACAGCCCTCTTCTCCTGCTCTGCTCGAACTCTTTCGACGAGCTCCAAGCTACGCGGCCATCTCTGAGGTCTAAGTAGGCTTCAGAGATCAGGCGACCTCCGTCTCCTATCCGCTCTCGGCCCCAAACAATCATCTGTCAGTGGAACTCAGACCACGAGAAATATCTACATTCAATGCATGCATTGAATGTGCCAACGACACTAATCAGACACATTCTTGCATGCTTTCGTCGGCTACTCCCTCCTCTCGTCCCCTGTCCTCTGCCCGGACATCTGGACTCGTGCGTCGAGCATTGTCATTGAGCTGCGACGTATCTGCCAGGGTCGTATCATGCCCTCTCAGCTCTGTCCCAGCATCTCGCGACCCACGACACCAGTCTGCTGTTTCCGGTTGCCCTTTCGAGAGTTAGGGAGGTTTTGTAAACGCGACCTCTTCATCAAATTCTCGACCTGTTCGGTCGAACAAGCAACTCACCCGGAAATTCTTGGAGATGTGCAGAAAATGTTTGGTACCAGATGTTGGACCATCCTCGTCTGGAAAGCACGAATCGCAGTCTTGTGAGTTTGGGAACCTCTGACGGGCTCAAAATCATGCGTCACGTCGTACCCAGTCCTGAGGTTTTGTCTCAATCAGCTCGGAAATTATAACTTCACGAGTTATGATTTTATGCTTATGAAATTCAACGCGACAGCTCAGTAAGCGGATGCTGAAGTCGGAATGGATTCTTTTAGACTTCCCTCGGCATCCGATCTTTGATACGGAATCAGATGTGGAGACGATCGCAAGTCCAGAAGCAGAAAGCTCTCGGAAAAGCCCGTCCTAATCGCACAGTATTACGATATCAACGACCTCGTACCGATGTCGGAACATGCTGCGGATCGATCGATGGTCCGAGCGCGTGATGTGTCAATCGCTGGGTGCGTAGTTTCAGGAGCTTCTGTGAGTCACGAGCGTCCGCACATGGCGTGTTCATGTGTCTGACGCCCTTCTCGTGGCCGTGGACTTGGACTGGGCTCAGTTACCAAAACCTGCTGTCAGACCGAATGCTCGACAGAATTCTGTCTCAGCATGTCTGCGCCGCAAATGAGCGCGTCCCAAGGACAGTGCGAGCGGTTTCATCCTCTAGGACCACTGAGCGAATTGTCGGCATCGAGTCTTTTGTCGGCATTGTGACCTCAGCGGTTCCGCAGTCTTGGGTGCCTAAATTGCGTAACCTGCTTCCACGTGCTCGTTCAAAGGCTGTCCGTCGTTCGGCTTACGGGAGATGTGATTGCGAAGGAATCACGAGAAGGGACGGAAACGGAAACTGTCAGTAGATGCGGGAAAGTGCTGTCGAGAAGTGGAGAAAACTGCTGTTTTGGGATTCGACAGCTGAGCACGAAGACATCTCAGCCGTCCGGTGGCGTCCATAACCTTCGCGCAGCACGAGAGAAACCCTAGTCAGGGTTTGGGAATTTGTGTCGAGAATTCGACCATGATCTTTAGCCAGTGGTGCTTCGCCATGACTTGTGCGGGGAGGGTCCTTCACAGCTCTCGAACTCAGCAAAGGCAAAATTCCTTCGTGACGAACGCCTTGGGTTCCGAGAGACTGGGAATCAATGACCATGAAATTTTCGAGCATTTGAAGCCGGCAGTTGAGCGGGAAAACGAATTTTGAGGAGCAATGGAGAAGAACGGGAATAAGAGGGGCAGGCAGGACGTGGACCCAGGAGTCGCGATCAAATGTGTCGTCGAGGACAAAGGTGCATGCGAAAATGAACAAAGTCCGGCGATCGTCGCCGTTTGTGAGAGGGGACAGAGCCCACTGAGCGTCGCAGATGAAATCGAGGATCCCTCGGCCAAGCGTTCGTCGAGCAACGGCGACAGAGAGCCGAAGCGTTATAAGAAGAGGAAAATCGCGCTGATGATCGCATACTGCGGAGCAGGTTTCCAGGGAATGCAACGCAATCCCGGGGCCACCACGATCGAAGGAGAGCTCGAGAAAGCGCTGTTCCAGGCCGGGGCCATTCAGGACAGCAATGTGGGCCAGCCGAAGAAAGTGGGTTGGATGAGAGCCGCGAGGACCGATAAGGGAGTCAGTGCGCTAGGCCAAGTCGTATCGGGCAACTTTTTCATCGATCCCCCGGGACTTGTGGAGCGAGTGAATTCCCATCTCCCGGCGCCCATTCGCGTGCTGGGTTACAAGCGAGTCACTCCTTCGTTCGACGCAAAGCAGAATTGTGTTCGCCGGAGGTACGAGTACGTGCTCCCTGTTTATGTGTTTGACCCTGACCTTGTCACCGCATGTTTGGCTGAGCAAGAGGCCAACAATCCTGGCGCCAGTGAACTTGACGATGGGGCAATCGCCGCATTGACTTCCTCTGACGGTGCAGTGCAATCAGATAGCACGACGGTCGACACGACTGCTGTCGATGTCAGCGATACAGCCTCGGAGCAGCAGACTCGCTCTGTTTCAGCGATTGCGCTGAGTGATGTGGAGACGGCTCCAGCTCCCAGGATCCAAAACCCAGAGGAGGATGGAAATCAGAGGGCGACACGGGCTGCTGCAAAGGAAGCCGAGAAGGACATGGAGATGGCAGAGATAAGAAAGTATTTGATGGAGAAGTCGGGTGCCAAGAATGCATTTCAGTTTGGAGAGGACTGTATCAATCGACTGAATCGTGTCCTCGGTCGGTTTGTCGGAAGTCATAGCTATCATAATTTCACCCCTCGCACGAAGGCCACCGATCCTAGCTCTTTGCGCTACATCATATCTTTCGAAGCGGAGAGCAAATTCGTTGTCGATGGGGTGGAGTTTGTTCGCTGTTCCGTGGTAGGGCAAAGCTTCATGCTGCACCAAATTCGCAGGATGGTCGGCCTCGCTGTGGCCGTTGTACGAGGTTGTGCTCCCGAGTCCATCCTGGAAACTGCTCTGAGAAGGCAAGCACCACCATCACTTCAGTCCACGTATTGATTTTGGTATTCTTTTCCTCTTTTCATTTCTGCACTCCGTGCGACCAAGCTTACTCTTATTAGAAGGGGTCCGGAGTTGTGTTCATTTGATCATGTGCAAGAAGGATTCTGAAGCGTTCGTTTTACCTTTTCAGAGACTCTGAGGTGAAAGTTCCAATGGCTCCTGAGCTCGGGCTTTTCTTGGAGGAGTGTTATTACTCCAGCTACAACAGCAAGTTCGGCAAACTTCACGAGGAGGTGTCGTTAGTAGACTACACGACGGATGTGCGCAAATTCAAGCACGAAGTTATCTATCCGCACATCGCCTCTACAGAAGCGAGAGATTTGGTCTTCGCTTCATGGGTCCAAAGAATCAATGATGAACACTTTCCTCATTTTGCGCTAGCCAGAGAGAAAGAAAATCTGGCCAAAGCAGCCCCTAAGTAAGCTGACGCTCCATCTGCATCTCGAAAAGCAGCCTACAAGCTCCTAAGCGAGCTGTGTGGCGAAGACCTTTCCTATGTACAGCTTTCGCTCGGGAGAGGACGTGGAAACATTCTGCAGGGCCATGTTTTTCATCCACATGAAATGTGGATGAATATCTCTTCTATTTGAAAGACGTGTTCCAGATTGCCAAGATGGCCCTGCATCAGGCTGGTCTCAGAACAAGCAACAGCCATGCATCATCGCTGCTGTGAATGGTGAGATACTCTGACATAGAAATGGCTTGTATCAGCTTACACTTCGGTGGATCCTTGACCCGGTGAAGTTCTTGAATCTCTCGGATGCAGTTACCTCCATTGCAGGATAAGATGCCAGCATTGATCATTTCATGTAGACCAGATCACTGATGTATCTTATCTATCAACCTTCCCGCCATGGTCCTCTTCTTTCTCTACATTGGGAGATGGGTAAAGAGTTCGCCGATCGAGGCCGTCCACTCTGATGATGTGGCAGGAGGGATCGAAACCGACTGAGATTTCTTTCTCTCAGCGCAGACGCTCCAAAGAACTAGGAACAGTGGTCGTGATTATTAGATTGGATCATCTATTGCATTTCCTCTGATCTTGCGGGAAGTTTGTTCGATGGGATCGATCAGACGGTGTTTTGAATCGGACAGAGTGGGCAATGCCTGATTCGTGTGTGCTTGTTGTCGCCGAATGCGAATGGGGTTGGTTCAGCCCAACGGTTTCTTGTTCAGTCCTCGGAGCTGTTCCATCCACGAACGATTTCACACGGTGTTCAATCATGCATCTTGCACTCGAAAACGCCGGGCATGTAGTGCAACATGAGCCGAACTTATTTCAACGCTCCTCCCACGTGCGATGATCATTCTGTGCAAACATCATAGCTGATAAGGAAGACGAAATTCACCAACCGAGTCCCACTCGACGAGTGTTACCGTGAGAGGGGTTTGTTCAGCGCAGTTACTGGAAAGTGCCCGTTTATCAAAACAAATCGTAAAGAACAGGTCTGTCGTTGGCGGTTACTCCTGTCTTGATTTTTTGGGGTAAAATATGAGTCTGTCCATGTAATTAGAATCTTCAAGGATCACAATCAATGTAAGCATCAGTACCGTAACGTACAGTACATGAGTGCTCAGGATGTACGGTCAGTCTTTCACATGTATGATCTATCCCTACACTGATTTACGCGTCAAGTCAATCAGGTGTGACCACATGCCCTCTGCACAGAGAGCAGTTAAACAATGAATGAGTACTTGTGTCCTACTTGCCTACTACCGCAATGGCATTATGGTTCGATCAGGAGTCACCACATGCTCGGACCTGCAGGGAGCATCGGAATGATGGATGAGTGCTTCATCATACTTGCGTAATCTGAAAGACAGCAATCTCAGCGTCTTTGGTTTCCTTCGATCACACTGTTACGTGCAATCTGCTTCTCTTAATGCTACACGTACGAGTACTGTATTCCATTCGATGGACCGTATTATCTTCCCAGGTCGAGATGGGGTTTGTTTGCGGAAAATACGAGAAGGTGCTGTGGTTTGTCCTGTAGTAACGAAGTAGTTGACTGATCTTGACTCGATTCCGGCATCCTTTTGACTTTTGACATTCTATTTCATTTATAGGCTCTGTTGCTAGCCAACTGCGTTGCCACATTTTGGAATGGAGGTCAGCATTTTGGCTGTTTTCCTACTCTAGTCCTTTGGACCCAGAACCCTCTGCACTCTACACCTGATAGCCAGCAACGCCATTAATCTACCGTAGTGAGGAGTACCTTTTGACTGGGATCCACTGCAGTTGCTGAAATTCTCAGGAGGTTTCAAACACAGAGTGCCCAACTGCCAAATCTAAGAACGTTGCTTCATGAGGCTGCATCCATTGTCACGTGGTGCTCTACTTGTTGCAAGCTTCTCGCTCAATGAACGGCGATACAAGTAAGTTGCAAATCATACACATGGAATACAACATTCCATGTAGAAGAGGTTCGTTCTCTTCCACGTACCTTTAAATGGGTTTCCTCAATGTTTGTGACCAGTGGAAACAAGGTATTCACTAGTCGCAGCACATCTTTCACATACTTCTACGAGGGGACGATTTAAGTCGTCTCGATTATGAAACTTGTTTCCAGATGCCAGGAAATGATCAGGAATCATCCAACCACACACAATCAGAAAATTTAGAAAAACCGGGTCTTCAACTTTTTGTGCCTTGCCAGGAGTCCAAGGAATCCGCTCCCGTCGATATACCGTTGCAGTCACGAAAGTTGGCGACCTGATCACCAACTTCAACCCCAGCTCTCGAGACGTTTTCCTTGAGCCCGTGTAGGACTTACTCGATTAATTTGATGAATCATCAACAGATGGACACATCTCCTTACCACAGTATCAACACAGGCGAAGCTCTCAATGCTAGTAGGAAATACCATGGTATGTAATACGCTTCAGCAACTAAGCCACCGAGTCCACACCAAACAAGCATTCACTTCCACTCTCGCTCTTGTTTGCTAACAACGAGCGTGCGAGATTTGAACCGGTTGGGAATTTGAGACGCAGTTTTAGTGGAAGGTCTGCACAGACCGATCAGACACATACTTTGACAAATAATGAATATATTTATGGGCCCACCCACTGCCCAGTTTGTTGGCAGCAAGACTCATGAGGAAGTATTTATAGCGAAGGGACGCTGAGGAGTATGAGTACAGAAGATTAAGGAGTTTCCACCTCGGCCTTCATGGTACAGGGAGGGATTCGTCTTCTGCTCCAGCCTCCACCTTCCTTCCTGTGCTTCTGTCATGGAGTCACGGATCCAGTGCGGTGCGCACTGCTGCCACAAATCAAGGCATTCAGGTTCTGAACCGGAAGCATAACTACAACTGCATGGCATTTATGGTCGTCTCTGGCAGGCTTGACTAGAGCAGCTTCCTTTCACGGGTACGTACGTAGCTTCAGTCGTTCGAACTACTTCCTGAAAAGCCTGTCAGTCCAGTAGCCCAGCCGTATGCGTAGTAATGATAGCCACTGGACTCGTAGTAATGGGTGTCGTAGTTCCTGCTGTAGTTGATGCAGTACGTCGCTTGCTTGCTTCAGAGCTCGCCTGCTCATGCTCATGCTGCTGCTGCTGCTGGTTTCGAATGGACTACTCAGCTTCCTGTCCCTCGTTCCTCCAGATAGCTATAATTTCCTTCGGAGCCAGTGCCCGCCCTCTGCCCGCCCTCTCCCACCCACCCAGCTCGATCACCGTCTTCGTGCTTTCAACGCACTTCCACTTGGGCCAGAGGAAGAGAGTGCGCAGCTCACGAGTGTCATTGTGGCCGTTCTCCTGACCCCGCATTGGCGGCCAGTCTCATCAGCTGGAGCACACATACAGATTCCATGTTCTGCCCGGACGTGGTGGTGTTACCCGAGAGGTCTATCACCATTTTCTTACCGAGACAGAGTATTTGATTCTACAGGGCTTCGCCCTCGTTGAGCCGGGAGATGTACTTGGACGACGAAATGCGCATGCAGTCATTGGGACGAGCGTGGAGTGAGAAGTCTAGCTCAGTTTGATGGTACGCGATCGTCCTGATCGAAGGTTGAGTATGATTTCAGTGAAGGTGAACTGAAGTGATCTGAGTACGTACCGCGCAGGGAGGAGTCCAGGGCAGTTAACACTTTGCTGTGAGCTGGAGCTGGAGCTGGAAATCATGAAGGTGTCGGAGGGAGTGTTTCGATCTACGTTGGCATATCACAAAATGTCCACGAGCTTAGGCCTCGTTGTTTTGATAGTCCTGATGGCGATGGAGCCAGTGAGATCGGATTCGTGCGGTTTTTCCGGGCTGTTTGCATTCGGCGATTCGTTGACCGACACTGGCAATGCCGTCACTGCCTATCCTCAAGCTTTCCTGGGTCTCGTGCTGCCTTATGGGGAGACTTATTTCGGCCAACCGTCTTCGCGAGCTTCCGACGGCCGGCTCACCATTGACTTCGTAGGTAGGAACAGCCTCCATTCCATACTTCTAATTACAAATATTTGCTCTTATCGTGATCACACTGTGCATAGGATCCCCACAAAATTTCATCTGCTCGCGCCTTTGTAAATCCCACTCATAGAAATGTAATTCTAGTGTCGAACAACGAACTACAGTACATCAATGTTAAACAAACGCCAGGGGACCGATTGTCAAACTCTTGACTTCAGTGCCGACAATGTCAGAGGTCATCTCGTGAATGAGCATTGATCTGAAGATCTCGTGTGCTGCTATCTAAAATACAGCAGCCAGCAGAGACTTTAGTGCTTTCGACTGGTTCGACGGCTTTTAAAAGTTTGCCATCTTACTTATAGACCATGGACAAAATTTCCGACATTGTACTCTGTAACAGATTGTGAGATTTTTGCCAGCCCTTGTCTCTAATTTAACACGGATATCTTTAAAGGTGAACATTTCTTCAATGTGATGAGCAAGAGGATAATTGTTTCCCCGCTGGACTTTGAGTTTAGAAATGAAACCCTTCGTGTGATCATGGTCAAATGCAGAAACTTTGGTTTCAGGTTGATAGAGGTAGATGTAGAATTATTGGCTCCATCGTAAAGTTGGATTCTGTCCATGACAGCCAGCCCACTGATTTTCTCGTTCCCGACAGTCATTGGTGATTGAAGGGATGACAGTCTTCGATTGGTTAGTAATCAGAGATTGCACACTTGTAATGCAGCGAGCTCGATGGGGCTCCCGTTCGTGGAGCCGTATCTGCAGAGTATGTCAGCGAGCTTCAAGCACGGGGCGAACTTTGCAGCCGCTGGAGGAACTGCGCTGCCGAGCAATGCCAACCCGTTTGATCTGAGCGTGCAGTTCCAATGGTACAAGACCTTCAAATCATCCGTCTTGAACGCGTATGGATCGAAAGCCACAGGTAATAAACCCCACCTTCCCATTATTATTTTCAAAGACTTTTGTCCATGCCATAGGCAATCGACACACAACACAGTGGCTCGTGCCCGGGGATTCCGAAATAGAATACCGAGTGTTTTGTTCCATTCGGCCTGTGAAAGCCTTGCGAGCTGCTATCACGAGCAGAACAGGTTTACAAGAAGTGAAAACTGAAGTGTCTGAAAATGCATCTAGACATACGATCATTCGCCCGACGAGCATTGTCTAGACTGTACACGCGGAAACTGTCTGTCGCTAAACGCATGACTGATTGATTGAGTGATGGCTACTGAGGTCGCCAGAGCTGCTCTGCGACGATGCTAATGCGCACTGTATGCACACATTTCTGCATCCGGTGATTAATCCGGCGATGTGGTTGGCAAAACTATCACTGCAGGAACCGGATCTCTGCCAGATCCGTCGATATTTCAGAACGCTCTGTACGTGATTTCCATCGGGGGCAACGATTACTTCGGAGCTTACGGGCACAACGTGCCGATCGATAACGTGAAATACGAGCTGGTCCCGACCGTGGTGAATTCAATCAAGCACACTTTGGAGGTAGGCGACGCAGCTCTCAAATGTCATGGTTGGAATTGAATGAGTAGTCAATGTTACACGGTGTGCAGTGAAATTGAAACTGAAATCGGGAGAGGGCGAGAGAGGGAGGATTTAGCCCCGGCCGAAGTCGGCGGTCATGAGCTTCTTGAACTCGGAGAAGTCCACTTGCCCGTTGCCGTCGACGTCGACGTTCTGGATCATCTTCTGGCAGTTGTCCAAGCTGGTGCCCTCGGTCATGCCCAGCTTGACCAGAACGGCCTGCAGTTCCTGGGGGGAGATGAAGCCGTCGTCGTCCGTGTCGAACACGTTGAAGGCCTCTCTCAGATCCTCCTCCTCGTACAGGTCCTTGCCCTGCATGACCTCCTCGGACACGAGGGCCTCGTAGAGGTTGGCGAATTCCATGAAGTCGACGGAGCCATCGCCGTTGATGTCCACCGAGCTGACCATGGAATCGATCTCATCCTCCGTCGTCTGGAAGCCCAATTTGTGCATGAAGTGACGCAGATCGTCCTTGGAGATGAGCCCGTCCTTGTTCTCATCGAAGAAGTTGAACACCTTCTCGATCTCGTCCTTCTGAATGGCGGGCGCCTCCTTCTTCTTGAAACTCTGGTACCTCTTGGAGAACGCTTCCATCGGGGCGCCCGTCATGATTCCGATCCCTCCCGCCTGACGAGCTCCGACAAGCCTTGCGGACCAATCGAGCGAGCGAGGGCAGCGGTCGGGAATCCACGAACTACCTCCTGAGCAGCAGCATGGCTCCTGTCTGGCGATCCCACCTGCCGATCGACCGAGCCGCAAGTGCACGCCCTCCTGCTCTCACCGGCCGTTTCATGTGCTGCCTCCGAAGCTTGACAGGCAGTCGGGGAAAGCACCAAGAGGCTGGAGACCCGACCATGGCTTTATAGGAGGTATGAGTCGAGACGGCCCGGCGATTCCAGTCCAGGTCCACACGAAATGCTTCGTGGGTCACGAACCAGGCGACTGTTCGCTCGCTCGCTCGGCTCCTTCACTCGACCATCATCCATCCATCCCGCCATCTCTGCTGCGCTCGGCAGGAATGTGGTCTAATTTATCATTTCGTGTCCACCAGCGAGTTTTGTGGCCGAATTCCCTGGCCTCTATCTGCGTGCACCACTCTCCCGTCCGTCCCGTGCTATCAGCCTACAGTGGCTGCGCTGCACGCCCTCTCTCTCCGAGTCTGACTGGGCGACGAGATCATTTCTGCATCCCTTCTGCGCCGACAGACCTGGAGGCCGGGGCGGGACGCAACTGCGCACAGTGGCAAACACGGGACTCTACAGCTTCCACGCCCCAGCTGTCCCCTGTCTCATATGTGCATATAAATGGGCAGCCCCTTCGCTGGCCCAGCATGAACATGACCCTGACCCTGACCCTGACCCTGCCCCTCGTGATCGGCGATTGTGGTCGGCAGTCACCTCAGCTTCTCATCTGCATCTTGCAGACAGAATCAACATCGAAGCGGACATTGCTTCGGACACCCGCTTCTTTCACTGTCATGAATGAGCCGAGCGAGGTGTGAGAAGATCTCGAGGAAACATCATGAACCAAATTACTTTTCAGAAGGGAGAGCTCATGACTTTCCCCTTCCCGTCCAAAATCCAAGAAACGGGGCCAGATGTGAGCCCCGGGGTAGACTTGCGGCAGGTTGGGAGCATTGAAGCGAGACTTCAATTCACTTCCACACTGCAGGACCATTGCACTTATGGAGGAGTGCATGTGGTGACATTCATGGAAAGTTAATGATTTGAGTTCCATCGACCGCAGGGGTTATATTCAGAAGGGGCGCGCAACTTTCTGCTCTGGAATGTGCCGGCGCAAGGCTGCTCGCTGGCTCTCCTGCAGAGGTTCACGTCCGGCGGCCCGCAGGATGATCAGGATCAGGCGGATCTCGACGACCTCGGGTGCCTGAAAGTGTTCAACGAGGTGTCCGCTCTGCACGGCTCTCAGCTCCAGACCATGGTCGACACCTTCTTCTACCAACGACAAGGCAACATGAGCATCAGCATTGCCGACTACTATACGATCAACTACGATGTCCTCAAGAACCCGTCGAAATACGGTACATCCCTTCTCTCCCTTGTGTATGGATCATCCTACAGGTTCACATTTTGCCTCTGACGGATTTTGCTATCGGCTCTGAGCTCCCAAGCATATGATTTAAGGCAGTGACGCCAAGGATAGAGCTAATGCGAGTGTGGCGGCTGAATATCCTGGACGCAGGGTTTTGGAACACCATGCAGTCTTGCTGTGGAGCAGGACCCAGTCGGTACAATTACAATCCCGGAGCCATCTGTGCTGGTGCGCCACAGTGGGATCGGGGCCAAGTGATCGCATCATCGACCTGCGACTCTCCATCAGGTTACGTAAATTGGGATGGGATTCACTTTACCGAAGCCATGAATCATGTCGTTGCACGAGCTTCTTTATCAGGTCAATACTTGCATCATCCAACCGATCAAAGCAGTGTGCTGAAAAGGTGCAACTTCATTCTGGGATAACGATCCTGCGGTTGCCCTTTCTGCACGAGGCATTGTCATTGTCATTGCCATCTTTACGTTCATACATCCTCGACTTCCGCATTCTCCTCCGCCACCGTCGCACGTCAAGCCCGCCTTCCTTGTTGTTCAGGAAGAGCTGTGGCGATGAAGATTCTTTCGTACTCAAAGTGCGGAACTAAGATGATACCGTCTAATCCTAGGCGGTGCTCCTGGCATGCCATTATTGCTGTAGATTCGAGTCTTCACGTAAACGGGGTGGCATAATTCACCGCAATAGCAGTTCTGTGAAACTTCACCAGACTGCTCTTGCTGGTGGTCACTTGACTCGGTTTGCGTCGGGGACCGCAGCAGCGAGGATCTCATGGCTTGTCCAGGAGTACCAAGCGTCTCTCACTCATTCAGTGTACTATACTCCGGGTCGAGGAGCCATACTTGATAAATAAACATCCAGCTTACACAGTCACAATGTCGAGCGTTTCGTGTAGCAAAAATTACTCCTCTCCGAGTTCTTGAAGTTGTTGTCTGATGGATTCGCCTGTATTCCTCTCAGGTTTGCTGTATTTGGTTTACAGTATGTTTGATATATCATTTGACTAGCTTATACATGACAATGCCATCTAGGGAGCATCTGGGAGCGGCAGGAATAAACCTGAAACATAACTTTCGAATATGTAGTACCTTTTTTAAAATATTCGTCTTGAATTAGCCAAAATAGCTAAGAGCCTCTTTGGTTACTCTTTTCTGTAAATCAACCTGAAAGAATGGTACATGATGATCAGCTTACATCTCATATGGCAGGTCTCCTCGCTGCATCTTGGAAGCACAGAAACAGAAGTTGATAATTCTGCAAGAATCTCTATTTCAAAAATAGTTGTTTTTGTAGGTTGGTTACTAATCACTTTCTACATATCATTTACATATTTACTCTAATCACGATATTGCATATTAACAATGTACATCATTTCTTCCTAAAGATGTTTGCTCCTAATCTAAATGATTATGATAAAAGTTTTCGTTAGATTGTTTTAAAGTAATTGCTTACAGAATCATGTACTCCAACAACTGGAAAGGTTTTAGAATTTGAGATTTACTGAATAATGATTACTAACTTTTGTAAAACTTCTAAATTTTATGTGATGTTTGTCGATGTTTAATTCTTTAATAGACGATCAAATTATTTTTTTATCGTTTAATTTATATTAGTTCTCTTAATTTTCAAGTAATGAAAATTACTTCAACTATCACTAGACATCATTCAATTAAAAAATATATGAGAAATTTGATGAGTAATGATTTGATATGTAAGCGATAAAAACATTCCAGGTAAATATTTACTAGAATAAAATATTCATATGATCTTAAAAATTATTTTGATACATTTTATCATGGTAAATTACATAGTCATTAGCAAAACTAATCTGTTGTATGTCATAAGTCATAACTCAAAATGAAATGTATCATTGAAGAAAAAAGATTTGCATTGTAAATTTAGAAGAATATATTTTCTTTGTTGAAGAATGCATAATCAGAATTCTAACAATAATAATGACATGCAAAACTAATAATAAAAATTCTATCCATTCTAGTGTGATGAAAGTAATGATTATGTTTGGACTGATATATGAATGAACTACATAATACAATAATTTGAAACCGTTTGCTGTTAGTGCATCAAATCTCATTTGCAAGATACATGTTTTTTTATATTAAAAGTGATAATGATTATAGATAATTATTACATTCATCAAAATTTGATTGTACTTTTGTATGTTTTGTTCAACATGAAGATCATAAAAAAAGTGAAAACTACTTCTACCAACAAATACAACTTATAAACCTAACTTGCCACTGCTTGCTCGGTTTTGTTTAGTTTTGTTTTGTCTTTCCTGTGCAATAAAATCTCCATTTGCTTCATTAAAAAAAAAACTATGTAAAGCCGTTGGAACTTTGCGCAACGAATTGAAAAATATGCTTTAATGGAAGTGTGATTTGAACTTTTGAGATATTCTGAAATGAAAGGGAGGAACACATTTTGAAAACACTAATCGAAAGATATATTGTGAATTGATTGTTACACTACAGGGATAACAACTTACCATCAAGTGAAATTCTTTTGAACAAAATATGTATTATAGAATGATTGAACTAATCAATATTATATATAACTTTAATAATATGACAATCTAAGAAATTCAAAGAAACATTTTCTAATTATGTTTTGGAACATAGTGGCACATTGCAAATTTTGAATATGAGTACATATAGAGCTAAAGAATAAGTACCATATGTCTATACATTACATTATGTTGTAAATTCTTGCCTACAGTTTTATTTTAAAAATAATTTAGTTAAAAATATATTACATTTCATTTGTTTAAGAAACGTGGAAACATGTATGAAGGGGAGATAGTGAAGAGTAAATTCAAGACTAGACCAACTTCAGTTATTCTGGATATCATTATTTTGACAAATTAGTGTATTGTGACATAAAAAAATTATTTGAAGATCTTAAAGATATAAATTAAAATTTATAAATAATTATCCGTGATCCATTGACATCTATATTTATAAATATTCACATTTTGCTACTCTTAAATATTTTTAGCTTTCTATTAAAATGTATACTAGTTTTTTCCCATATAAAAATATGTTATTAAATATTAATTTCTAGATTTACTAAATTGCATATTTTAATAAATTATTTTTTTTTTTACAATTTGTTCTGGTAAATTTAAGTATACCCACAAATACCAATACAAAAAGATTTATGACAAGAAAAAAATAATTCTTTTGACATTTTTGGGCTATGTCCACGAGATAGATAAAGTCTTTGATGAAAAAAATGTAAAATGTGAGTTGTGGCTTGTACTACTATTTTTACAAGGAAACAAACTTTCTAATTCTAACCCGAATTAATTTAATCCGAGTTTAATTCAAGACTAAATTACTAAATTAATTTTAATTTTAATTTTAATTTCATTTTTTTGAAAAAAATCTAAATTTTAATAATAAATGAACAATCATTCCATGTTGAATATTTATTCCTAAATAAATGAAAGTCTTGAAGTCTATGTTGGAAACCATGAAAATTACACACTGATGTACATGATTCCACTCCACACAAGATTACGTCCATGGTCGAGATAGAAGCTTTATTAAAACAAGATGATTACTTCAGAATTTCACAGCCAAACTTTTGACTATGCATCTCTCTATCAAATGTACATGTGAGATTTAAATTAAATATGTTCATCATAGTTTTAAGTACCTGACTTATGAACCTGAACTCTAAACTGAACAAATCAATTCTAACTAACCCGAACCTTAATTAGCCCAAACTGAACAAATGAACCCTAACTAACCCGAATATATCCAAACCTTAATTAGCAAAACCCTAAACGCAAATCTTAAATAGAGTTCAAACCTAACTACCGTTAACAAGACGTGAGTTAACTTCGTATGAGGATTGAATTATTTTTAACATTAAACCAAATAAAAATTTAATTTTATTAAATTTAAAACAAAATAAAATTAATTAAATGAAATTAAAATTTATTTCACTAAAATTCTAGTAATAAAATATTCAGATTTAGATTTTATACTTTCAAATTTTTTTGGGTAACACAACTAGAAATATTATCATAAAATAATTGATAAATGAAATAATAATTTGAGATCATTTGAACTTTAAAAATCAATTATATCAAATTTTAATCATCTTTTATCAATACTTATTCAAAATATAGATTTATCTTACAATAGTAATTTTTTGAGTAAATAGTAATATAAATTTCTTATGATAAATCAAAATTTAATTTTAAAGCTTTCAACATGTGAAAAATCAAACATAGTAAAAAAATCATAAAAAAATAAAGACATATACATTCCATTAATTTTAAATTTTTGAGATATTTAATTAAATTTTTATTTATTTATTTTAAATCATTAGATTAAATGTATTGATGGAGAAAAAAACTTTTAAAACAAATATGTTGATGGATAATTATAAATTTATTCAATAACATGATATGTAAAATAATATGTATTGCTTTTTCATCTTGACTTGACTTGCTGAAAACTTCTGTTTCAATAAGTATATATGTTCATTTTTTAAAAATAAGACACTAAATCATCAGTTTTACTTGGCATACTTGACAAATTTTATAATTTTTAAGAATCAACATACTAATTTTTTTAATCTTCATTAGACTTTCAAAAATAGGAAAATTATAGTAAGTTCCGATAACTCAATTGACTCCAATCACTCATACGGTAAACTTATGAATTCCACGAGAAGACACAAACGTGCAAGTACATGATTCAACTAGGGAGCTACATCCACGGTGAGTCAAACACACTTCAATATATAATGCGCAGCGGATGTTACAGAAAAAAAACATAGAATTTAAGTTCTTCAATGCCAACCAACAAGAGTCAGCTAACCATAGCAGGTTAACATGTACAAATATTGTGCTTGTGTTCTCTTGATGAATAGCTCAGGGCATATACTTTAGCAAGTCATACTTGTAAGGGTCAAAATCTTCCATCACATTAGCCAACGAAGGGTTTTTTGCGCTTTTGATTTTTTTCACCTAAGAATCCTTCTTAACATGATCACTCTTGCCACATCGCCAAAACACTACCGTTTTACTCTCAGAGGTCTTACCTCCTTACTGGATCTCTATATGGATTCAACACTTTTTTCATCCCTGTTGTTCCTCGAACTTGACCGACCTTGACATATTTAGTGTTGTACCGGAGATGATATCATCTCGTACATCAACTGCATGGACGAGATGATAACATCATCTTCAGCTGAAGTTCACTTACAACCTTGATGTAAATGAGTGTCTTACTATTGCAATGGAGCATAATACGTGATAGCGTTTGATACGATGACTACAGTGAGTTGAGGAGATGGAGAGACTTCTTTTCATTTTGATATCTTCTCGCCAAGATTTTGCAAATCTATCATAAGATCACCAAAAGTGTTGATGTGATCTTGGATCCTGAGATTCATCAGCTTCAAATGGATGTAGAACCTGTTTGACAATTTCATGTCATAAAATTGTTGTTTAAGAGCCTCAGATAACTAGCTTATCATAGTCTTCCACCAACTTCAAGTTGTAAATATCTAATAACGATGTACACTGCATATTCTTGCAGATCTTTTCACTCAAGATCATTGAGTATATCAGGTTTTTCTCTCAATAGCATGCAAAGGCTCATGATCTTCAACTTCCAACCTGTCATTTCAAAGTAGATAGTCTGCGCGTTGGTCGAATATGGTAATTTCATAACTAACTCCTCCTAGTTGTCTTGTTGCCATCTCAATCCAAAAAAAGTTGGCAGTTGTGGCAATTTTCTACTTTCCGCTCATGCGTTAATCTCCCCGAGTTACACCAATTTTCTTAATTATGTCGTGAGCTTTTTGATAATATCCAATTTGCATATATGCTGAGA